ACATCGAACAAAACAAAATTACTACCATAGAACCAAAGACGATGTTCAAAACAAAGAAGACACTGAGACTATATGCTTCTGGAAACCCATTTTCCTGTACATGCAACTTGAGGTGGTTCGTGAAGTGGCTCCTTTCTGGCAATGTTGAACTCAGGAATCAAGAGAAGACTTTCTGCTCGCTTACGTCCATCAAAGAAGAGATCAATTCACCTATACTTTCATTTAACCCTGACCAATACTGTGGCACTGACATTGTGATGATCACAGGTGTATCCTTTTCAGTTGTTCTGATCGTGGTGATTTGCTTGGTGGCTTACAGGAAGCGATGGTGGCTAAACTACAAAGTCTTCCTCCTTAAGCTAGCGATCTTTGGCTACGAGGAAATCAACCAGGACTTGGATGCCCATGACTATGAGTACCAGCTAAACATCATGTACAATGAAGGTGACGAGGAATGGGTGGACCGGATCATGAAGCCAATGCTGCAGGAGAGGTTTCCACATCTGCGGAAAGTGATCTTCGGTGACAACGACCTCAACATCGGGATGTTCTACATCGATGCTCTCCACTACGCCACCGAGATCAGCTTCAAGACTGTCTTGTTGATAAGTCACAACTCCATAGATGATGCCTGGTTCTTGACCAAGCTGCGCATAGCCCTAGAGCACATCAATGACACCAGACTGGACAAGGTAATACTGATTTTCATTGAGGACATCCAGGATGAGGACCTCCCATATTTGGTTCGGTTATTTCTGAGTAAGAACAAACCTTACATGTTGTGGATGGACGATGAAGATGGTCAGGAACTCTTCTGGGCCCAGTTTGAGAAGAGCATGAAAGCCAATAGGGCCCTTAACAGCGTTATTCCCATTTAACAAGAATACTTTCACAATCAAGGAAGGAAACTAGGAATCTCTGATTATGCCCTATATCAAGATGCAAGGTTCCCATTAAAAAATCAACCATAATTATCACTTTTCAATAGAGTTATTCCAATTAAGAGCAGAGCACAAAGCAGTAAAAACAGTATTGAAAAAAATAAATCATAGAAATGATAGATAATTCTGATAGTAACAGGAGGAAAGAAAAGAAAATGAAGAAAAAAAAGAAGGAGACTTTACGACGCTAATTCAACACCATACTGGTGTTTACCCTATAACAGGTGTTGTCAGTCACCAAGAGTGGACTTCACTCTCATGACATACAGGTCTTGGGTAATGCACTGTGTCCTACTCTACCATCATATGGAATTATAATCATATCAAATTTCCCTCACCCTCGAGATGTACATGTATAGGCAAGTTGGGAGTATATCTGGTGGGACCATGAGTTAGTTGGGTCATTCCATGTCAAATCACCCAATGGTTTTAACCCGACCATTTTTTATTTTGATGAAACTTAGTGTACTTGTTGACTGTGATCTCACAGCACTAAATCCTAAATTTTAGGTCAATCGGGTGAGGGGTTTGGGAGATACGGCCCACCAAATTTTGAGATTTTTTCAAAAATGGGGGTGGCGGGCCTACCTTTGAACCCTTGTATTTCGGGAACTAATGGGTCAATCTTCACAAAATTTGTATTGTTGGAAAGGTTATTCAATAAGGATTCCAAATCTGCCGTCATTTTCAAAATTCGTACATGTTGGGGTACTTTGACCTCTTGACCTAAAATTTGACCTTGAAATTGACCTTGTGGATCACGTGACCTTGACAACATTTTTCATGAAATGTAATCTCTGACATGTTCACTAAAACATATAAAAGTTTCAGAGATATAATATTTTTTGTTTAGGAGCAATAAGGATTGAAAGTATCCATACTTACAGATATTCACAATAAACCCTATTATAATGTATACAATACATGCAATATGCACAGTACAACATACATCTTCCACATGCTTTTTTGTTCTAGGCATATATCCATTCTAGAAATGAAATGACAAGTTCATATAGGCCTAAAGGGTTAACAGGATGTATGGCTTCAGACCTCTGAGTTGGTTCTAGGATAATTACCCCCCTGGAAAATTAACCCCAGGAAATGTTCCCCCCCCCCCCCCCTCTGACAATTACCCCCCGAGGACTATCACACCCAGAGGACAATTACCCCCCAGATAATTACACCCTAGGAAAATTACCCCCCGGACAATTACCCCCCCCCCCCCCCTATTCGTTAAAGGAAAAGTTCATCCTGATAATAAGTTGGTTTTAATCAAAGCAGATTTTTTTGGGGGAGGTAATTATCCTTGAGGGGTAATTTTCCAGGGGGGGGGGGGCAGATTGTCCTAGGAGGTAATTTTCTGGGGGGTAATTGTCATCAGGGTGTGATAGTCCTCGGGGGGTAATTGTCCTCGGAGGGGGGGGGGGGACATTTCCTGGGGGTTAATTTTCCAGGGGGGTAATTATCCTAGACCCGATCCTTTAGGCCTATATGAACTTATCATTCTATTTTTATTCAAGTACTGCTGACATTAAGAATGGATATGCCTAGAACAAAAAAACATGCAGAAGATGTACATGTATGTTGTAGGCCTACTGTGCATATTGCATGTATTGTATACATTATAATAGGGTTTATTGTGAATATCTGTAAGTATGGATACTTTTAATCCTTATTGCTCCTAAACCAAAAATATTATATCTCTGAAACTTTTATATGTTTAAGTGAACATGTCAGAGATTACATTTCATGAAAAATGTTGTCAAGGTCACGTGATCCACAAGGTCAATTTCAAGGTCAAATCTTAGGTCAAGAGGTCAAAGTACCCCAACATGTACAAATTTTCAAAATGGCGGCAGATTTGGAATCCTTATTGAATACCCTTTCCAACAATACAAATTTTGTGAAGATTGACCCATTAGGTCCCGAGATACAAGGGTTCAAAGGTAGGCCCGCCACCCCCATTTTTGCAAAAATCTCAAAATTTGGTTGGCCGTATCTCCCAAACCCCTCACCCAATTGACATAAAATTTGGGATTTGGTGCTGTGAGATCACACTCAACAAGTACAGTAAGTTTCATCAAAATCAAAAATGGTCGGGTTAAGATTTTCAGATTTTTTGGGTGATTTGATATGGAATGACCCAGTTGCTTCAGAGACCTTTGCACCCACATTAATTGGTAATTCAACCAAATCTAGTATCAGCGAACTATGATGCAATATATATTGTATATGGACACTGACTACTATGTGGCTTAAAAACAATTCTAATATTTGGTCTGTACAAGGTAACATTATGTTGAAGGATTTGAAATTGACTATTTCATATTTTCTCTATAAAACAATTAACATTGCAGACCATAGTAATTTAAAGCAAGAGTTGCTCTAAATGGTAATTAATTTTAAGATTACAAATTATAAAGTAAACTCTATTCTTTAATATGTTTCTAATAAAATGAAGATCAGAAAACAGAATGTTTCGTTGAAAAAGGAGTTTCAAAGAAAGTTCCTTGTACATGTACATGTATATACATGCTTAAAGTACAGTGTACATTATATCTTAACTGCACAACACGTAGTGACAAAATTAAAAATGTTACAGAGCATTTCAGTTACCTGTTTATGAAGAAACAAATGTGACATAAAAACAAATTTGGCGCCTAAAACTTCAAGTCAAATATATACCTGTATATATAAACATCACAACGTGTATAAATAATGAACATATTTTTCTTGTATTTGTCTGGGTATGATGTGTTAATATGGTGCAATCGTATCATTTTGCAATGTACAACATACGATTAATGACTAAATAATTCTTACCACTTGTAAATATGATGTTTGTGTATTTTTCATAATTCAAGAATGAGAGGTATAAATTGTTGAAAAAGGGTATTTGTTGAATACTTTCAGATGTAAGCTTCGATACGTCACATTCTCAAGAAAGGGAAGTTGGGACGAATAATTTTTTGTATACTTAAAAATAACAGAACTTGGTAAGAGAATGAATACTATAGTAGTTAACTGTAAATGTATAACATCACAATAAATGATCAAAATAGATGATTAAAAGCCTTTTAAAGATATTTTCTGTCAATAAAGCACTTATTTGGATAATAGCAACATATGCCTACACGTATCTTGTTATCATTGTAGTTCTATTAGAGAACCCATCGGGAAGAGCCTATCAGAAGTTGTCTCTAAAAATCTGCCATTTTGTCGTTGACATTTACATGTAAAGGCTAGACTTGGCCATCCTGAAATATTCATTGTGTAAAGATGCTTCCCTTATCTTAGTCTACCTTTCATGGAGCAATTAAATAATGCGGATCAGCAAACAGAATGAGCCCTTACCTTAGACCCTGTAAGCCGAGACAAAGATCTGCCATTTTCTTATTGAAATATGAAGGCTAAAATAAGCTCTCATGAATATTAATTTGTGTATGCTGCTTCCCAGAGCATATTCAGGTTTGCACACAGCACAAATGGATTTGAGAAGCAGCATACAGAAAAGGCCCTACCTCGGATGCTATATTGTAGGCAGGGACGAAGATCTGTCATTTTGTTACTGGCATTTTGAAAGCTAAACATTCATATTGCATGCTGCTTCCCCTTGGTATAGCTTGCTTTCAGAGATGCGAACCTCTTGACTAAAAAAAAATCCAAAAAAAAATCAGATTTTCAAGAAAAACTTGACACTACCACTGGCGCCTTGGCCCTGGGCCAGTAAAATTTCAGAAAAATCTCATACTGGAACGGTCAAGTAAAATGTTTGCTCTTTCATTATAATTTAATGAGACAATTGTAAAGCAAAGTTTTTGTAGGAGTTGCGGGGGTTTACTTTTACATGTTTTTATGCGATTCCACGGTTTTTATGATTTTTTTTTAATCTTCTTTTTTTTGGGTGAAAAATTGTATTTTCATAAGAGATGATATTGTATTATCGTATTTTACTCTTATTATCGTACTAAATACGATTTAATCGTACCGGTTGGCATCTCTGTGTTTTGCATAGAGCATAAATGGAGTTGAGAAGCAGCATAGAGACTAGACTCTTACCTTAGATGCTATTCTGTAGGCAGGGACGACTTCTATCCTCTCATCCTCAAAGAATTCCTTACATTGCATGCTGATGAAGTCTCCGCCCAATGGACTCTTTACAATGGCTGTATTAAAAGATAGAACAGTGTATATCATGAATATTCAATAGCATGAACATTCAAATGACATTCAATATCATGAATATTCAAATGAACATTTTCAATATGAAGTCTCCTCCCAATGGACTCTTTACAATGGCTGTAAGATAGAAGTGTTTATCCTGAATATTCAAATTAACATTCGCTGCATGCAGATATGGGTGTATTAAGATAGAACAGTGTATATCATGAATATTCAAATCAATTCTTTACATTGCATGCTGATGAAATCTCCTCCCAATGGACTCTTTACAATGGCTGTATTAAAAGATAGAACAGTGTATATCATGAATATTCAATAGCATGAACATTCAAATGACATTCAATATCATGAATATTCAAATGAACATTTTCAATATGAAGTCTCCTCCCAATGGACTCTTTACAATGGCTGTAAGATAGAAGTGTTTATCCTGAATATTCAAATTAACATTCGCTGCATGCAGATATGGGTGTATTAAGATAGAACAGTGTATATCATGAATATTCAATATCATGAATATTCAAATCAATTCTTTACATTGCATGCTGATGAAATCTCCTCCCAATGGGCTCATTACAATGGCTGTATTAAAGATAGAACAGTGTATATCATGAATATTCAATAGCATGAATATTCAAATGAACATTTGCTGCATGCAGATATGGGTGTGCAAAGATAGAACAGTGTATATCATGAATATTCAATAGCATGAATATTCAAATGAACAATCGCTGCATGTAGATATGGGTGTATTGGAATACACAAACTGGTGACATCATAATCAGGCGCAAAGCAGTGATAATATAATAACACAAAAGCAGGGAGTCATTTATGTACCTCGGTTTTAACCCTAAAGAACAATCCCTTTCATCTAATTTGACATTGCTGCTACTACACATTTTCATATTGGAATACAGTAAATGAATTTAAACTACCATAAGAATTCTTCACTTTCACCACAACTGGAATATCTACTCTTATTATATAATCCATATGGCACTGAATAATGCACTTACCAGATTGGTTGACATAGCCTTCATAAACAGGCACTGCTGTGGTGTGAGTTGCTCCACTGTCTATAACCAAGCCTGTTGCTCTTCCATTGGCAAAACTGCAAAGTGGCTGGTTAAGGAAACTAATCTTCATTGCTGGTATTCATTGAAGGTTAACTTTAGTCCGGGCCAAACCCTTACCTAAAGCCTCGTTTAGACATGGCGTTGTGAAGTGCCTCAAAAATCCACCATGGTAAACTAAACCGACTTAAGTATGAATGTGCTTCACATATCTGTGTCTCATAATGTTGAGATAACATAAGTATGAATGCTTAAGAAATTTGTTGCATGCAGCTATTTGTTCTAATCCCAACTTGATATTCATTGAAAAATAATTGACAAATACACACAATTCAGACTCGATACAAAGTTTGTTTTCAAAGCCGAAATCTACGCAGAGAGAAAGAGAGAGAGAGAGAGAGAGAGAGAGAGAGAGAGCAGGACTCTTGCAGAGGAAGAGGGGCAAACAAAAACTCTCATACTTCATGTAAAAAAATTTTAAGAGTGCCGAATACGTTGCGAAAGGGTATGCAGAGAATGAGGGGATGAATGGAGGAGCTAACCCATACAATTTACACTTTATATTAAAGAGAAGGTTGAGTTCTGGAAAGAGGTGGAAAATAATTTGTGAGCGTTATCAATGTATTATGCAAGTGTGGAAGAACATCAGATAAAAAAATGTTCCCTGAAAAGCATGGCTCTTCAAAGTTAATATTCTAAATATGGCATGTAACATCATAAAAATCAGGACAGATTTTTATGCCACGTTTGTGTAGTCCCATATACATCCTTCTGTGTACAGTGCTTGTAACTTTACCAAGACTGGGCCAAATTTCTTATCATTTTGATGATTTCAGATCCTTGCAGTACACACCAATACTATATGCTAGATGATCAACCTGTTCTGATTGATTCCACAACGTTTCTTTCACAATGCAATCGCATGACCAGAACTCAACTTTCTCTTTAAGTGTCAAATACATTTCAAAAGCATGAAAGGATACGCAGAGAGAACAGGACTCTTGCAGAGGAAGAGGGCAGGAATGTTGTACTGCTCAAACATCAGCTCTGTCAGCTTCTCTCTCTTCTGACGTAGGTTCCACTGAAAAAACAAAAACAAATATGAAATGAAAAACGATTGCAATGATAATCATAAGAGTTCACCAGAGCCCCGTCTTACAAAGAGTTGGTATCAATCGCAACTTATATGCGCAACTATGAACATAAGAGATAGTAGACTGCAAACTTGCGATTGATTGGAGGACTTTTTTTGGGCTTCAATATACACCATATCATAGACACTGATAACACGTAGGGCCATGCATCTCAGATAATCAGACAGGCCATCGGCTTGTAAAAGTCATGGGATTCCTGACCTAAAGGGGTATAAATTATGATTTCAGCATGAGCTAAATCAAGGAATTTTTTTCAGAATCTGAGGGAATGTTACCAAGTCACTTTAATGTACCTCGTAACCCTCGTTCATCTTCTCTTCTCTGCTTGTGTTATTCTTATGTTATATACAGGGGTGATAGTGAGCACTAAAAAAAAAAAGGATTCGGGAAAAAAATTGACATCTGACAACATTCATCTCTTTTGAGTAAGAAAATTGGGGAAAAAATCAGGAAAATGGGGGTAAAATGGGGGTAAAATCGGGGTAAAATCGGGAAGAAAAAAGACAATTAAAAAAAATAATCGACTAAAAAAGAAAAAAGAAAAAATCTGGGAAAAAAAAAAATTGGAAAAAACAATTTATATCGGGTAATCATCAGGCCTGTATATATATATTGATACCATTTTTTTTAACCTTTGTCTATTTTTAATGAACGTATTGAATAAAGTGAACTTGAGCTTGACTTACCGCAGGTTCGGACATGAGCACGGGATGTAGGCTGGGGTCGGACTTGATGTATTTCTTGTAGGCGTGGTCTAAAACGGACTGAAACATGTCCCAGTCTTCAACTAAACACAAAGAGATGGAAGAAATGGATGTAAAAAAAGGGCAACAATACTTCAATTCTATTGCATTCAGTTAAAAAGACAACATTTTAGAACATATTTGACAAGGACATAAAATAAACTTCAGGAATAGGTTGCAACCTGAAAGGAAAAACATGGCGGTAATCCTTATATTAATACTTGTCATCAATAACAAATGATTAATTTCCACGAAAAAGTTAGCTCTCAGCCAATCAAATGCAACTATTTCAGTAGCTTATAGGGTAACAACACGGAGCCTCCATTTAACGTCCTATCCGTGGGACATTAAGAGTATTTTCCACTCTAACATAGCCTGTGTCTATGGAACAGGGGAAGGGCACATCAACACATAACGCAGGCCACAGTCATATGCCCGGGTTGGATTTTAACCCACGATCTTTGGTTCGACAGGAAGACGCTTTACTGACTGAACCAACTCGCCCCCGCCTCCTCCTTCTCGGCATATCTTCTTTTCCAACGGCATCTTAACTATAAGGGACTAACACGTCATATGGGAACAAGACAGTAGTCAGTAACAAAAAATAATCTAGTACTCACCCATGCCATCTTTGAGTGGCGTGCCAAGCTCCATCCCCTCCCGAACAAACGTCAGGTAAGGCGTATCAACAACGTATCGCTTCTTTATCGCTCCGTCCTTGATGATCGGTTGCGTCTGACCGTCGATGTCCATCGATTCTTCATCTTTGCAGTCGACCGACCCGGCTGTTGTCGGGAATTCAGCCTGTAGGTATGACAATTATGTACGTAAGAAACATTAAGAACAAGACTTTAAAGCATAATGCTGCTTTGTATCATGATTATAATTTCCTTGGGATATCTAAATGATATCCTTATTTGTAGAAATATGTGATAATGTGTCATTTTAGTTTTAGTTTTTTGAGGGGGGGGGGGGGGGTTATGATGTATTTTTTGGTTATTTTTAACAATGTGTAATATTGTGTGAATGTCAATGTTATGTTTATTTTTAAGTTTATTCAGGAGCAACTTATAGCTACTTGCGCCCTCTATATAACAAACATGCATTATCAGTGACCATTGGTCCCCCATGATCCTCTTTTTCTTATGTTAATTGAGAGCTGATTGATAAGATAAGCACCTGTCCAGTGACCTTGGAGGGTGGTCTTATCCCTCATGTACACTAGTAAAGATGGCCTTTAAAGGAAGACCAACAATATCCAATCTGTAAATGACCTACCTTAGGTGAATCCTCTCCAGCATACCCCCCTCTCACAGAGTAGGAGCCCACATCAAACACCAATGCACCGACCTCATCTGTAAAACATAAACAAGAAAGATTCTTACTAAAATCCAATCCTTGCATGAAGGAAGGTCCACGCTGGTTTATTCTCGTACCAGCAGGAAAAAAATGAGAGTCATTTGGCTCAACAATAGAGGTGCACAGCCTACATGAAGGTCTACACTGTACTTTGGGGGTACCGTCTCTAAGTCTAATGTCAGAGACTTCTGTTTAATCCTGTAACCGATAATCGGATCGTTGGCTGGTCGTTGGCTGATCTATTGAAATCAGATTATAAATTCTGATCGCCGATCAATGAAAATGTTGATGTTTCATGACTTGAAATTAATAATATTAGTCCAAGAGGAGAGGCAAAACATGCGAGTCGCCATTTCAGATTATAACGACAATGGAAAGAAAATGTGCACCTACATTATAATCCAAAATGGCAGCTTGCATGCTTTGCCTCTCCTCTTAAGTCATTATGTGCTTTCAATCTAGCTTCTATCGGAGTCACACCGATGAAAATACCGATAGAATTTTCCTTATGTAAACAAAGGTGAACCACCATTTTCCCTGCTGTCGCTTTCATACTGCCGGTGAAATTCACTCGCTGTGGTGAGCACTTGCCGGAAGTGAAGAATTATTACGTAATTATTAAGCCCATGCCCCATCTAGCTGGCATAGAGCATGTTCAACAAACATAGCTGGTTACGATAAAGTGACATTAGACCATTTTAATCAGTGTTTTAATCGCTGTTTTCTCCCGGACACATTCACAGTGGCTGTTTCATCGGTGTCACACCGTTAGAATGAGAATTTCTCCTGCTCTTGAGCAGGAGAATTTAATCGCCTATTTCTCTTTTTTTCATCGGCTATTTAATCAGCTTTTTCTCCTCTGTAGCATTCATAGTGGCCGTTTCATCTAATGCGTCCAGACTCCGGATGCATCCAATGAAAATCAGGCCAGTTTGAAAGGGGTATAAGACTAAATATTATAACTTTCAAAGTCATGAAAAGGCACATAAAAAAAAAAAATTTTTTTTACAACAAATCCAAATGACAAAATAATCCCAGCTCTACATTTTCTTTTAGTATTTGATAGCCCAAAACTTGAAGAAAAAAAAATGTTTTCCTCTTCCGATCATTTTCTGATCAGAACATATTATCCAATTTCACCTGATCGGCCGAGGATCGGCCCCCGACCCAATTATCAGTTACAAGGTTATTTTGTTGAGATGTTTAGTAGCTTTAATAGCTTATTTGGGAGACATGCATTCTCCAATTTAGGAAACTACAGGTATTTCCTTTATTTAAATTTGCCGCTAATGGATTTCCTTGGCTCAAAATAAAAAATATGATGAGCAAGTTCCTCAAGAAAAATCACCCCCCTTTTGGCCATCTTCTTGAAAAATTCACTGTCTACTTTTATTTTCATAAAAGCTTTTCTTATGATGTACACATCAAACCAGTCGGGTCCTGACCCCAGAGAGGTTAAAATTGATTGGAAAAAATGAATTTGTTGGTGATGTTTCTTTTGTTCTTATGAAAGGTAAATCTGCTTTATATCATGGGAGATAGTCTCCCAAATCGGACTACAGCTTAGAGACCAAAAATTATACAGTGCGTCCCAGAAAAATGAAACCGAGAATTAATGATATTTTATCATATTTAAATCACAATTATTATTAATAAATGACACATAGATTCTAGACCTATAAATTTGTAAAGCTTAGATACTTCTCTTTCATTTGATGCAACTTGTAGGATGCACATTTCATGCATAAGTGATTAAAAACAATTTGAAGATAGGGTATCAATTTGGCGGGCGGTATCTGAATTTCAAAGAGAAATTCACATTTCTATCAGTAGGGGCGCTGGTCCAAGAATGAGGATCGTCCTCATAAACAAGGATATCCTCATAAACGAGGACAAAATGCGTCCTCAAAAATCAGGGTTGTCTGCATTTATGAGGACGTTTTTTTTCATCGGCGCTCTGGGGGTTTCACGTTACAGAACGGCCTGATGGCGATGCCAAAAATGGATTCCCCGGGGGAAAATAACCCTAGTTCACCGTCTACTTTTATGGGTTGTCCGTCTTCCCAAGGATTTATTGCTTATAATGTGAAAGTCTCTGTACAATGTCAATGTAAAATGCATCAAGAAAATCATTGCAGAATCCGTTTTTTGCATCGCCAATGCACCGATCAAAAATATGAAACGTCTGCAAAAATGCAGACGGTCCTTATTTTAGAGGACGCATCGGTCCGTGTTTACGAAGACGATCCTCGTTTATGAAGACGATCCTTATTCTCGGACCAGCGCCCCTACTGTCTATAAAGTTCATTTTCTGCCCTTTCATAATCTATGACTCCTTATTCCTTAATCAGGAAAAATGAGCCAGGAGTAACTAGTAACAAGGTAATGCTTGCATTTCCATAATTAGATTAACAAAATTCATTTTCACTAGCTGCCTGCCGTAGCAATAAACACAGTTGATGAAAGACTAAATTACTTAGAGACTAGACTAACTCTGTTAGAAGACGAAAGACAAGTTGATACATGGCTGATCGTTTTCATATGAAAGTAAATCATGCTTAGAGTTAGACTCTAGGCCTAGATCTAGTTAGATCTAGACCCAAATTCTGTGTTACTTTTAGTTTTACTGTGTGTTAGTTGTGTGTGTTAGCAAAAAATAACATTTATTAGATCTATAGGGCGCTTTATACAGATGTTTCTACAGATGTTTCTAAGCGCACAGGGTCCACGCCAGGCGGCCAGTGGTGCGGTGGCGAAGCGGCGTCGGCCTGGCCCGCGCCGTTACTGCTCCCGGCGCGGAGATAAATTTTTAGCATTCAATCCCGACTGACCGGCTACACACGACAAATATCGCACATTCACACACATGTAAAATCATCACCATTTTTCTTTGTCTTTGATCCTGATACATAAATAGCTTAAAAAACATCATTATTGGCAGGCAAAGATATCAAAATAATTGAAATTCAAATGAAAAGAAAGAAATCTTACCTCCACCATACACCCCACCACTCATGTTTGTGTCGAATGGATGAAATTTATCAGAAAGTGTAAACTATTTCTATCGGCTTTATAGAAATTGGCAACACCGCACTCACCACTGAATTATAATTCTATAAATGGAAAATTAAACATGATTTCATAAAAAAAAGATTTAATTCGGAAGTAAAATTTAAAAAATTGAGTTAAAATAGATACTTTTAAATTAAATCAAAGAATACCATAAATATAAATGAACAATATCTTAACAAAATGTATTATTCTCTATCAATATCTAGTTCGAGCCAGTAGGGGATTTTATTCAACTTCCGTTGCGGGAAAAAATTGGAGGCCACAACACCCACAACAACACCAACCATCAAGGATCAAGCAAGCGGAATCTTGTAATTCTCGGAGCTTCTACAACTGCTATTTCTAATTTCTAGACTATTGCGAGCTGTTTGTGTCTGGCATGTCTAGCTGAGACTGAGGACGGAGGTTTGCCTCGAGTTATTACACTTGAAAATAGACCTAGATCTATAGGAATTAATTGTTGCTTGTTAATTTTTATAAAATAAGTTGTTCCATCTTCAGTCGGTTCAGATTAATTGACAGTAACATGGAATTTGGAGAGAGCTAGCATCAGAGGGAAGACGTAGAATAGTTGGCACCTAACACATTTCTTAATATTTCTATGCATTTAACTGACACTAGTGACAGATCAAAGTCTTTAGTTTAATTCATTTTTTTTTCTTTGGAACAGCCTGCAGTCTGTGAACAGGGTGAATGTGATTTATGAGAAGCACAATGCAGCGCATCTCTCGAATGAAACGAGAACTTGAAATGATGGAAAGGGCGCCGCCTCCAGGTGTAAGTTGCTGGATGAAAGATGGGGATGCGACTCGTCTTGAAGCCCGTAAGTTGCAGGAGTTGGATTTTCCAGAAATTATTTTAATAATTGATTGAAAACTAAATAACTAGGGTCTAGACAGTAGACTCTAAGTCTAAGGCTAAGCTCTAAGCTAGACGTCTATAGACTAGATCTATATCTGTTATGATTGATTAATGATTATTATTGTCATTGTTATTTTTATTTTCGTTATCATCATCATCTACTGTTGTTGTTTTTTCTCATTATTATGATTTTTTATACTCCCCCTTATATGCTTTCTTTTACTTCCAGAGATTCTTGGAGGTGAATCCACGCCATATGCTGGAGGGATCTTCAAACTTGAGATACACATTCCAGACAGGTAGCATATCCTTCAAACTAGTACATTGCCTTTTTGTGTGTTTCACCCCTCCCTCCCCCTCCCCCTCCCCCTCCCCCCGGATGGTGAAATTTAAAGGTCGGTCACCAGACGTAAATAATCATATCTGATTGATACACGTTTGTAAAATCCCAATACACACATACACACACGAACACATTGACTTGGTTTCAAGCCCGGAAACCCTCGGTTACAAGACCACTACTGTACCACTATTTTTTAAATAATTCTTTTTATCGCAGGATATTTTAAAGGGGAACACCCCATCTCCCATAAAAAGGAACCAACAACACTAAAAACAAACTACCCCCCCAAAAAAAATATGTCAGTTTTATATTTATATTTATTTATATTTTTATCCCCATAGGTACCCCTTTGAGCCTCCGAAGGTGCAGTATGTGACCCCTATCTACCACCCAAACATTGATACCAGTGGAAGAATCTGTCTGGATCTACTCAAGATGCCCCCTGCTGTAAGAAAACATGAAATCTTTTTTAATTTTTAATTTTTATTGAAGAATGTAAATCTGTAAATTTCATTACTTAGCATAAAGACTTGTTGCTAGTATTTTCACTATAGGTCTTTCATAATATCGTCTGCATTACTATGAACTGAAAAACCTGTCATATGTAAAACTGTACTGATTTGTCGTTCCATAATAGCGCCGACGATATATTTTAACAAATATTCGTGTAAAGCGCTTAGAAAGAGTTTCATTGATAGAACTCCATGTATAATCAAATTTCGCATTCTGATGTCTGAATTGTGATGGTTACAATTTGTACATGAATGAAAAAAAAAGCAATAATGCAGAATTTAACAGTTCTGATATCGATATTATACTGAATAATCACTACATAAATAGAATGTAATTTCACTAATATAAATTATCATTGACCTTGTAATCACATTCCTATTTGGTAATATACATACATTAGTTAGAGTGAAATAATATTGAACTACCGTAGCTATTACAAGTATATAAAGAATTTATAGAATAAATGGTGTTGGTTTGCAGTGACTAAAGGAAATTATACAAAGTTTTGAGAAATTTTGAAAATTGGGTGGATAGTGATTCTTTACAATTTTGATATATTTGGATGCCCCTGTGGATGTATTATAAGCACTAGAAAATTTAGCCCCTAAAACACATACTGCTTCCGAGAAAAATTAACTGGTGCTCCTGGTAAATTTTGATGAATTTCAAATTATTTCAAATCTCAGAAAATGCAGTTGTGATATATATATAATTTCCAAATGGGAAAAGCCAATCGGTCGATTTTAGTCAAGAAACATTGTTTTGTAGCTAAATTAATATCTTGACCGTGAGAGGGAGCTATACAACATGAAAGTTAATTATTTACAATTTCATAACTTCAGACTCGATTTCAACCGGGACAACGATCACTGAATATTGTAGGATCGCATATGCTTTCAATATGTCCATTTGAACCAAATTCATGACCCCATACCAAAACTTTGTATTACCTTTAATATTGTAAAATGGAGCTGATGTAGGATTAGGAACTTACAACTACCCCCCCCCCCCCCCCCCCCCCTCTATCCCTACTGGGTTTTTGTTCCACTGCAAATAATTTATACTACTGTATTTAATATAAATCAAATTTTATTTTTTAACAAATGTTTTGTTCTGTATGTTAAAGCTTCTATGCTGCTTAACTGTATTTATATGTAAATTTTGTTGGAAAGTTTTGTCAGTATGGAAATGTATTACATTAATGTAACAAGTTAAACTCATATCTTGTTAAACATTTACTGAAAGACTGCTTTACCTGAAAACTCGCCAACACAGATCACATGGAACGAATGTTGCCGGTAGACTTGTTTATTTTGCATACTACTCTGCGATCATTTGCCAGATGTTATTTAAGCAAACTTTGTGGGAATAGGGGTAACTTTGTTTGGAATTCAGTCTCAAAAATATTTGTCTAGGCTACATTCCTTTCTCCATGTCCCTGTTTGTCAACTTCTCCAATTAATTTGCCTCCCATGATTGTCTTTAGGGTAACTGGAAGCCAAGTCTAAACATATCCACAGTGCTGACGTCCTTACAGCTGTTGATGGCTGAACCCAACCCTGATGACCCTCTCATGGCTGATATTGTAAGTACCCCTTACCCCCTCCCCCTTAAGAAAAATTAAAGAATAAATGAGTGAATTTAAAGACGAAAGAAATGGGCGTTTTAGGAAAATGGTAGCTTGAAATCTTAAAAAACAAACAAATAAACAAGAAAAAGAATGGACAGGTCTTAAAGGTAAAGACCATTTATGGTCATGTGATTGCATTGTGAAAGAAACGTTGTGGAATCGATCAGAAAAGGTTGATCATCTAGCATCTAGCTAGCATCTGCAAGGTTCTGGAATCATCATAATGATAAGAAATTTGGCCCATTGTTCGTAAAGTTACAAGCACTATACACAGAAAGATGTATATGGGACTACCCTATATCTCTCACAGACCATGAGAGAAACAAATTTACCAAATATATGAATTAGTAGGCAGTTTCCCGGCAAATTTTGTATCATCATGTATTAGTCAAAACATATTCTTTCACATGATTGGTAATGAGAGCTTCCATTTCATTTTTTGAAATTGGGGCGTTTCCAATACTGGTCTTTACCTTTAAAAGACATTTCACTTTGTTCTGCCCCGGAAATCGAAAGAATTTTTTTGTAAATGAGTAACTAATTTTAGGTCTGTTTATTTGGGGTTTTACCGGCTTTGGCCCGGCCTAAAGAGTAAAGATTCGCTCTTTTAGTGTTGAGCTTTGGATATCCAATAATGCCCTCTGGCAAGACGTCAAACTGTTTTCTGTCACTCAACACACTGGTAAAGTACGGTAAACGGGTACCTGGTAGTGAAAAATTCATTGAGGATGCCGATAATGATGGTGGTGATGATTTTTTCTTGTAAAGCACCTGTATCCACATTTGCTTGGTTCCAATAGAACAGCATATCAAATATACAATTCTACTACTCACCTATCATTCACTAAATGGATCTGTCCCTGAATATATTTCCTCTCTTCTTAATATCTCTTCAAGTTCTTGTGCAGGTCTTTGTTCCTCTAATTCAATAAATTTACTACAAGTAAGAACAAAGAGGAGCTGGGGTGACAGAGCTTTTACAGCTGCTGCACCCCGGTTATGGAACTCCCTACCCCATCCAATCAAAATGTCAGCCAATCAAAATTTGTTCCAAAAAAACTTGAAAACTTATCGAATGTCTGAATTCCTTAGTTAAGACATAGTGTATTTCACAATCTGATGTAATTAGCGTTGTTTAAGTATATTTAATTATGTTAAATTATTTTCGTTCTCTGTAACTTCTCATGTACTTTCTTAATTTTAATGTATTTACCTTGTTAGGGGCCTTGAGCATCTCTTGGGATGGATATGTGCGCAATATAAATGTTATTATTATTATTATTATTATTTTTCTTATGAACTCATTATAAGCGCTGGAATGGGTAACCAAACTAAAGGCAGGGCAATATTTGTGTCCCTGAAATAGATGATGTGAGCGCTATACAAGAATGATGATGATGGTGGCTTCTTGTATAGCACATGTGAAGATGCTCCTGGTTGGCGCCCAAATATGTAGCGCTCTGGCATATCACCTACCCAGTTACACCTAGGTGGAGTGTGGCAATTGTGGATAATGTCTTGCCAAAGGATATCAGTGCTATGTCGGGTTTGAACCCTTGACCTTCAGTCAAATGTTCAAACCACTCAACTATGACACGTATATGTACATTACCATTTCAGTTTTTTACCACTGAAGACTTATTATCTTTTTGCTTCATCTTTTTAAATACCTACATGGATATGCTGTCTTCACTTAACACCTGGTATGCACAGTCTGCAGAATTCAAGCACAATAGAGCAGTGTTCATAGAGAAGGCTAAAGAGTGGACAAAGAAACATGCTACACAAGATATTCCACAGGTAAGAAGAACAGTAATACATTGCACTTATTAATCCTTTGGTCCTGCATACTGTGCATCATCTTTCAATAAACACAAAATAAAGAAAGTTATGAATGTTTGAAAGCAGAAAAATTAGAGAAACAGAATAGCGAAAGTTTGAAATGAAGAAAGTCAACTGGTCATGCAGTGGATTGTGACGTAATTGCAGATAATTCTCTCATATTTTGTGTACCCTAAACATATCATTAATTTTTGTTTTTCTCCAACCACCACTTCACAGATCAATTTGAAGATTCAATACCTGTAGTGATTGTAACTTTCAAAAATGCATAACTTTCTCATCTTTTATTCAATTTCATTCAAACTTTCACCAGTCTACTTTGATTTTCTGCTTTCCCCTTAGAGTAATTTGCTATCAAAGTTGGATTTCCCATTAATACAGAGTATGTGTCACACAATCTGACAATGATTTGAAATGAATTTCTCTATGTTTAGAAATTATATAATACTGCAGTGTGAATGAAATCAATATTGATATTCCCGATTTTATTTAAAAATGTGTAAACATTAGTGAGTTTTCTTAACATTTGAGGGAGCTTTCTTTCAAATTTGAGGACAAATGATGAATAAATTAACCTCAACTCAGTTGGCTCAGTCAGTAAAGTGTCTGACTGAAGCCTGTATATTGTGTTAACGTGCCCCTCCCCTGTTTCAAAGATGCAAGCTATGTTCAGTGGTAAAGCTTCCATCCCTTGGATAGGATGTTAAATGGAGGCCATGTGTAGAGAAGAGTCACCACCTTTGCACCTTAAAGGGACCCGGTAACTTTGTCTCAGATCCTTTAAAAAATCCTTGATTTAGCTCATGCTGCAATGATAATTATAAAACTTTAGGTCAGTCAGGAACCCCATGACTTTTACAAGCCAATCACCTGTCTGATTATCAAGATATTTATGATTGATAATCAAAATAAAATTTTGCGTTTGCCAAACGGTTTTCATAACACTACAGTCTATTGGGGAAAACGAGTATGGTAGAACCGGTCACTCAAAGATTTTACTTTTTTTGAGGCACTTCTTGATCATTTTGGAGTGCATTTGATTTTTTTTTTTGGTCTTCAATATAACACCATATCACAGACACTTATAACACGTAAGGCAGTGCATCTCAGATTTAACATTGCTAAACGATCCCTTTAATAATTATGATAACCGCTTTTATCACCCTACATATCAAGAATTGTTAAATATAGACCCTCAATTCTTTCCTCTATTCATTTTATCCTTCTTTTTTCCCTGACATTTCAGACATCCGCAGGCACATGTGACTCCTCTGACGAAAGCAGCTCTGAATCAGAATCAGATGAATCCGATGATAGCGAAGATGAAGAGAACAAGTCAACCAATCAGAACACACATATTTTGAAATCCTCCAATCAGAACTCTTCTACCAAAAGCAGCTTTGCAGGACAGAAAGAACTGACCAATGAGAGGAGAGGAGAGAAGCGATGTTTACAGGAAGTCAATGGGGAGTCGTTGTCTGCCAAAAAGAGTCACCTGACTACCTGAAATAAGACATTTGAGGTCGGATTTGCAATTGAAAATTCAGAACTCAAGAATTTCTGGACAGATTCCTAATAAAGATCAACACTGATCAAAACTGAGTGATGTTCATGTGACATATGCTGCCTAGAAACCTGGACAAAGCTGCCGTTTACGCAGTTCACTGTATCTAAAACTGCTGTAGTTTAAGTTGTGCGTAAAGTTTAGGATGACTTTACAAAGACTTGAATATGAAGAGCTAAATGAGATTCTCAAATCATTTTAATTTCGTAAGCTAAAGTTGTAATATGCAGATGTAGAGTAGATTAACCTAATCATTATTAACAAAACGTTTTAATGCAAAGTGTATTTTTGGCTACAATTCAATTGAGATTATGGGAAATACCATCACACTTTGTCAAAATGTCAGGACAAATTTGAGCATTCCATTTGGCTCTCCATATTCAATTCATTTGTAACTTTACGCACAGCTTTATGAAACATCCCCCTGTAGTGATGGCTTCAAGCTTCTGCATTATACTATACATTTAAAAGTTAATAGCGCCATCTTGTGTCAATATGCCATGCAGGCACTCTGACTAGTTTGTAGGGTAGGCATTACCGGTATTTAATCATGCAGTTAAGAGACATCTTTCTAAAAATTGCCACTATGTAATAAAGCTATGGTATTTAATTTGCATACAGTATATCATTTGTATCAGGAAGGATTAGGTTTAGAATTGTTGTGGCTATTTTTAGAAAAATGCCTATATATAAGACTATAGAATATTTTTCTATTTGGACTAAGAAAAGCATTACAAATCCATTTTTCTTTGTTCTTGTATAAAGTATATGTTCAACAATACACCATACTGTATGTAGGCAGTAAATTTGTTTTTGGCATTTATACGTATATGTATTGTGATTCATATATGTGACTTTTTTTTCTAGTCCACTGCCTGGGGTGTTTCCTTGTCGACGCCCAATCCGCCGAGAACATAATAACATGCCCTCAACGCTAAAATGGAGACAGTCCTCAATGCCTTTCATTCTTACCCTCGTTTTTTCAGGTCGTGTGATCAGTGGAAACAACGCACTGTGTGGGTTGCATGTAAGGGAGGAGTACAAAGATGATTGAAGAATAAGAAATATATAATAAAATATAAAAATAGACAGAATCTGGACTATATCTTTTTTATGTTTGACTTGCTAATTGGACTATGTGATTCTTATTTTTTCTCCCTCTTCCTTTTTTTTTCTCTCCCTCTCACTAAACATGATTATTCCACTTTCATATTTTCTCTAACCCGATCACTATTATTCATCATCTTTCTTTAAAAGCAATCTTCTCGCTCTTCTCATTTATCCTTCTCTCAAAATGCTTTATTCTCTAAACAGTTCACTTACCTCTCAACCGATTGTCTATTGTAATTCGTCTTTTTAATCCTAAACGACAAAGTAGTCTCTTGTAAATTGAGCAGGAAAATACTCACATACTTTGTAACAGAAGGGATATACTACTGAGCTGGGAGGGATGTCACTAAATAAAAATTAAAACAATTTGAGAAAAAAAAATCAAGGGGAATTAAGATACAAAGAAAAAACCACTGATGAGGTCTTGTAACCAGTCTAGCATTATATAAGCACAAAGAACAGTTTTAAAATCCAATTTATCCAAACCTATATTAAAAAAAGTAAATGACAAATGCCTATAAACTAAAACAACAACATTTACCATTGAGATATATCCAAGCATCCCTACATGTGATCAGTGAATCCATTCTATAATGACCACCCAAGGGAGACAAGAAAAGTGGTCTTTATAGGCAGGTGGTCTTTATGTACAGGTTCCTTTAGTACATGTTTCTATGAGAAACCATTTTCAAGGGAAACAACATATGGGGTCTCTGAAGAGAGCTGTTCTTTCTATACAGGTGGTCGCTGAAGCAGGTTTGACTGTATCAAGTTTGTGGGTCCTATTGAGGGCATTAAAAAAACCTGTTTTGGTCTGGTTACAAGGCTGATATTTTTACAGATATCTGTAATGAAGATCTATGTCCCTATACACTGTAGGGACATTTCCTGTCAGATATGACTATACAGGGTTCACGTGCAGATTTTAGTTGTGTAATGACTAGACATCATTATAAGTACAGATATGAATGTACTCTATTCAGGATTACATAAATGAGTACATGGATTCCTGTGTAAGCGGGCATGGAATTGTGTACAAATGCATACAATATATGAAAAGGACCGACTACCGTAATGACTATTCTATAGTATGTACACTCCTAATGATAAATGCAGGTTTACTTTTGTGTCACAATATGCACCAAGTACTGTGTTTGTCATACATACATGAAATTATATGACATCTAAGTAGATACCGTACTTGTCATTTGATTGGAGGATTGTTGGTCACGTGATATTCAATAAAAAATCTATTGAACAACTACATTTTGGACTATATTTGCCATGCATTTTTGTTCTATTCAGTGTGCATTAGATGTATATTATAAAGCAAATAATGAATGTTTTTCATTCGTTCAATAGTGACGCCTTGTCATGAAAATATTCGCACTATTGAACTCATTTACATTCATTATTTGTATACTATATTCATGAGAACATTTATCAGTGGCAACCGTATGTAAAACTGTAAACGAGGTAGATCTCCTTTTTTTAGAGTCTTGAGTCTTGAGATAGTATTATAGTTAAAGGGTGGACAAGTTATAACCAATTTTTCATTCTAAACAAACTTTAAAATGATCCTTAGATACTAAAAATGTCTTTATTGGGATTCATTGTTGTTTTGTAATTCAGTCAATAATCATTTATCTTGGATTCTGATTGGTTTATTTTGTCGTTGTCCAGTTGATGCTATGTCTAGTGAATCTTTGCCAAGCACTCGAGTTTTGAAACACTACAGCCTGTATTTTAAAAAAAGTGCAGAAATTGTAATACTTGTACTGTTGTAAATCTACATTTACGCATTAGTAAACTCGTCTTTGATGAAGGGGAAAAAACAATCTATGAAACACATCAATTAAATATATCTGATACTCATTTATTACATAAATTGTACAATACATGTACATGCATATTTAGATTTTGATATCTGTTTATACACCAATGATATTTATCCCTTGCACTGTAAAAACAGTCAATAAAATTGAGAAGAAAAAAATAAATGAAAAAAGTGCCAATGTTGAAATGAATTGTAAACATGAAGATATTTCCCTGTACACTGAACACAATCTATTTAAGGATATTTATTTGCTCAGGCTTCAAACTCCACATATACCTGTTTTTTCTTTCCTTTAACAAAAAAAACATTACACTGATTTCTGAAATTTTGCACTTCATGCAGAAAGATATAAAAGTTCTTTTTTTTTCCATGAATGTAACATATCAAGTGCTATAATGCATGAAAATCCCCCACCTTCTCTGTTCCATCACCCCCTTCCCCTCCCCTCCCCCACCCCAACCAACAACAATAACAATTCACAGTCATACCAACACTGATATATTTAGTACTGTGTGCACTACCGTTAGTATATAGAAATGTCAAATTACTTTTGATATTAAATACAAGACGACATTCAATGATAAACTATGCACTGAAATGTGGTTAAAAAGAAAATAGTTAATACAGTTCTCACAAGACAGAAGCTCGTTACACATGTAGGTAACAAACATCTTCAATTGACTTCAAATGCACCATTTTCTCAGTCATACATGTATATGAAAAGTATGGGGAATTCTTGAATAACAGCTAGATTAACTCTTTGGTGACTTCTGTTGACCAGAGGAACAAAACAGTGAGGATTGCTGCAGTAAACTTTTGGGGCACATACCCTGTGGCCTGTGTAATACATGCCACAGTCCTGAATGCGGATCCGTGTCAAATAAAGAGTTAAGGATAATTAAGATACACTTTAACACTGGTGCACCTTTTAATAAAACACACAAAACCAGCTAAATGACTGGATATAAATTATCCTTATAAGTGGATAACAAAAGAATGTAAACAATTAACATAACAATAAGGAAAAAGAGATATTACAAATATTAATGCTTACTTTTTTTTAATATATAGAAAGAATGTCACAGAATACTGTTTTCCAAATCCAACCATAATTCATTTATCACCAAAGTACGAGACCATCTAGAATGTCAAATATATAGCTATCTTGAAAGAAATCTTTCTTGTAATATTCAAGAAAAGAAGCTTTTTCCCCCACAATGATAACAACGTACATACATTTAAATACTTGACCTTGCAAATATTTTCTCTGACAGCTAAACTACATGTAATGTTATAATGTATGGTGAAATAATTAATAATCTCAAAACAAAGTATTTTAGACTAATATAACTACTATTTATATGTACATGAAGCTACTGAACTAACCTACACCAGAAGTACATATTTATATCTGTCATTCTATAGATCTTGATATATTTTATTGCTAGCCAAAAACATCACAATTCACTACATGTACATTGTTTGTGTTATCTTTACATATTATGAAACTTACATGTAGAACAGAAACATATACTGTACTCATAACCATTTGTATAAAATTGCACAATTCTTTGAAAATTTAATCATGATTTGAGAACAATCTTTACTACAGGTACATGTATCGATTGGGGCTTCTTTGTCAAATGTCCTACTATCTGGAGCATGTACAGGTATTCTTTGCTGAGAGCCAGGAGGGCATTGACTCTTCAAACATTAAGAGTTAAATCCTCATGGCTCTAAGCAAACAGCATACAAATGTACAGTGTACATGTATTTTACAAGTGGCAAACATATCGACCCGAATTCACAAAGGAGGTTTGTCGACAAACCTTGGTTTTCGTACGTCATATGACACGTTTTTTACGCGCATTTTACAAACCTGGTTTGTAAAGAACAAAAGGAGGTTTGGCGAAACAAACCTCCTTTGTGAATTTGGGCCATCCAGTCTTTGAATGTTCACATATAATTTGCTGAGAGCAAGAAGGTCATTAACCCTGTGTCAATGAGTCTATACCCTTTTGGCTCTCAGCATGAGCATACAACATACAAATGTACATGGTGTATATTAAACAGGTGGCAAACATACATGAACATGTACAGTATATGCCTACCGGTACATTGAATGTTCACAGTGGATCGTGTATTTGGATGGAATGTGTTAAAATTCAACCTAGACACAATGAACAAATGCCAACCGTTCTTAATCTTAATCATATTCACTGCTTTACATCCTTGGGCAAATACGCTATGAATTCCAATGATACAGTTAACTTTGCATAACTTGCATAAGTTGCACAAGTCAAATACCATACCAGTGAGTCAAATCATTTTTTTTTAAATCCTAACTATCCAAAATATGTCTTAATTACTCTTTCCAAGTCGATTTTTTTTGTGGTGGTTAGTATAGATTCGACGTATGCAGAGTTAATTGTTTGAGATGTTGGTTTATATGATATTGTTTTTGCTTTGGTTGTCTCAATAACAATTTTTGTCAACTTGGTAGAATGCTATTTTTCTTGGAAGCCTAGAACCATGAACCATGATGTTCTTCATAGAGGATGACATTTAACCATGTTGATTGCGAGCTGATTTGATGAGATAACCACCTGTCAGTGACCTTGCAGGGAGGTCTAATTCCCCTGGCCAGACTACTACAGAGGGGCTTTAAATAGAGGTGGCCACGAAGACGGATTTATTTGAAGCTGGCTACTTTAATAGACGGATGTCCCTGTTGGTTGCAGAGTTGGTAATGGCTTATTGGCAGTTTGGATAGGGTCCAATCCATCTTGATAGAGGGTTGATGATAGGATAGTACATCAATCAATCAATCACAAACTGAATCTTTAATCCACCTGATACTGCAACCTCTTGTTGACTGAATATTGGTAGATGGAAAAGCCGGCAAAGAGAAGGTAAATCCCCGCAGCGATGAAGCAATTATTTGAGACACTTGTGTAGGCCGCATCCAAGTCATCCTGGTCGAAGTCCTCCTTGAGGTTGACGTCTTCAATGAAAGCCAAGGCATTTATCCTGAAGAAGACCCCCATAAGAAGCTGTAGAGGGATTAATAAAAACAATTACAATAATACAGATACCAGTAATAATGACAACATCAATAACAACAATCATAATCATCATCATCATCATCGTCGATATCATCATTCAATGATGACGACGACATTGTTAAACTCTCCCGGAGTCCCATATTGCTATAAGAAGCTGTAAAGGGATTAATAAAAACAATTTGAAGTTCATGTACTGGTATGTATGTGTGATGATGATTGATACTAATAATACAGTTAGCAGTAATAATAACACATCAATAACAACTGGAAAAAAAGAAAAAAAAAAACCAAATCTCTGACTTTGACTGTTTTTGTCGTTGACTTTTCAATTTTTAACTCATCATTCATCAGCAATTGTAGAAGAGTCAAAACATGGATAATTAATTGTAATAAATCAGTATCAACTACAGCTTATAACAAATCCACTAATATCCAAGTTACAATGGACAAATGGCCATGCCATTTGCATTGCATTGGCATTGATGAAACACTGACTGACCATTTCTGTGCATCTCTCATCACGTATTGTCAATGCAATAGTACAGTAGGCAATTCATTCACAGCACATCACACAGACAGTCACATTCTGTTTCGACTTACCAGCATTACTACACCCCATATACTCAGCAAAGAGCAACATGTCGAGCATTTTGGTCCACAGATCTTCACCATTTTGGCTAAAATACTACTCCCTTGTGAACGAAAATGTCAAAGTATGATAAAATCAACGAGAAATAGTGAATTTAGCCGCATAAGTAAGGACGTTTGCGCTGGCCCTTTGCTGTCATGTGATCCGATAGTGAACGTGATTATCGGAGTGATATCGATAAAGTTATTTATTGATTTGGCAAAAATTTCCTTTAAAAAAAACTAAAATTAACTCTAATAAGCTTGTAGGTGTAGCAAGATTACGAAATAGAAATGTATTATTATCTTCTGAATGACAAAATATCGAAAACATTCAAATGACGTCCCTTTTGGGGTTTTCATTTCAGTTTAAAGGATCACAAAATATTAGTCATGTGACTGGATCAAAGGTTATTTCAACTTTTCTTCACATTATAAACATGGTCGATCGACTTGGTGAGTACCGCTTTACTTCCGATAGTTTGTTTCGCTATTTCTAACCTCCCTTTCTATTTCCGGGCCCTAACTTGACATTTAAGAGAAAATATAAGCATTACAGATAACGGATACTTATTGTAAATGTTCATATTTGTTGAGAAAGGGGTGATTGGGGCGGTCAAAGACAGAGTGGAATCAACAGCGAACGTGTTTTTCTTGCGCGTGCTACCCGTTTTTCTAGGAAATCTACGCCGCCCATTTCGGCGTGTGATGGTGTGATTAACCCGATGGTTGAAAAGAGGCGTGTATCGGCCATTGGAGGATTGTGTGCATGCAATGTGCATTGCCACTAGCTGTGTGTGAATGAGAGAATTTAAAACAAAGTATTTTGTTCTCTTTATTCTTTACGCAAGAGACTAAACCTTGTTGTTGATGTAGTCTACATCTACTTAACTGATAATGATACTAGAATCTAGAGAGATTCATTAGAAAGTCTCTGTGTGATTATCAGGTGCACGTCATGACGTGGACTGGCATGTTTGTGAGTAAGAGAAAATGAATGAAAGAGTCTGACTTGCCACTTGGTGGACTCTGGTCGGGTAGAGGCCATTAAAAATATTTTAATATTGTTATCAATGTCAATAATAAATTGTGATTTTCGTTTGTCTAGCCTCTTCATGTCTTTATTTACTTCCTGTGACAAAGCAGTGTCCATGTCTTGGCAACCTTGATTTTATGATTGAATTTACATTGTAGATTTAGATTTTTCCCAATCATTTTATTATTTTTAAAGGCCCACTGCACTACTTGTAGCTACTTGCGCCCTCTATATAACAAACAATGCCTAATCGGTGACCATTGATCCCCCATGATCCTCCTTTTCTTATGTTAACTGAGAGCTGAGTTGATGAGATAACCACCTGTCCAGTGACCTTGTAGGGCGGTCTAATCCCTCCTGTAAACTATGGCAGATAAGCTTTAAAGCCTGAAGTAAAAGTATCGATAGTGTATCCCTTTTGCAGCCATCATCAAATTCTGTAGAACTTTGCAGGAATTAAAGATAAACTCCAGTACTGGTAAAAAAAAAAAAAAAAAAATCTCACAGAATCAAACGAAACTTACACTGAATGTTCAAGATTACAAATAAATGACATGTGCCAAACAATTTTGGAAGAAAATGTATACTGGCTGAGTAATGAGCATAGAAAGACAAGGAAACCAAGGTAGTACTAGCCCCGACACCATGTGTGTTGTCCCATATATAGCTTTCTATGTGAGTGTTTGTTTCTTTACCAAGACTCGGTCAAATTTATTATGATTTTGATGACTCCAGAACCTTGCAGTGCACACCAATACTTACATGCTACATGATCAACTGTTTCTGATCCTTTCACACCTTTTCTTTCACAATGCAATCGCATTACCAGTACTAAAGTTTATCTTTAAGAATAAACCACGTACCGGTACATGTCCTAGATCTGTGAAAGGTAAGTATTAATAGTAGTCAGTAGTAAGTTGTAGTAGATCTACTACAACTTAACAAATACATGTAGTGTCCTAGTATTCAAATTTTGCAAGGAAACCCGTTTACTTTCTAGACTTTACTGTCAGACACTGTTGAGTGACTGAATGACTTCTTTTTTTGTTTGGCTAATTCCTAGCACTCTTAAGTACACAGAGGCAGCCCAGCAGACATGTTGTACGATTGATAACTCCTGGCTAACTGACCAGGTTTTAATGTAGCAAAGCATTACAGCATTCTATGTAGCATTCCACATACATTCCATGCAAAGTAGAAGAAACCAATAAATATTCATTTAGTCCCATACAAGTATAAATCAGCATCACAAAGTATTCTTGAATATTCAAACATAAACAAAGGGTATATATTGAATGATGAAAGGTCCCTTCCAGTTGGGCTCCAGTTTGCGTCTAGCATTGACGGGATTGTGTAACCAAACTAGATCTCCTGGCGCATACTTGATGGTCCTAGTTGACGCATCATAGTCCCTTTTCTGCCTGAGTTGAGCTTGTTCCGCCTTCTGTCTGGTATGTTGGAAAGCCTGTCTTAGCCGGGAACACACATCAGTGACATACTCTTGAGGAGAATCATATGACTGAGTCATGATAGGACAAGTGACACTAGCTGGGGTCCTTGCTTCACGACCATGCATGATGAAATAGGGTGTCATGCCAGTGCTTGTATGGACACTAGTGTTGTAGGCTAGCTGCAATTGATGTATGTGCTTGTCCCAGTCACCTCCTTGGTCTGCTATGTACTTAGCAAGTTGTTCTTTGATAACTCTGTTCGCTCTTTCAACGATGCCAGCTCCCTGTGGGTGGTAAGGGGATGATCGAGATTTGCGAATGCCGAGCCTCTTGCAGAGATCCTGGACTAGTCTGGATTCAAATTGTCTTCCTTGGTCTGTATGTAGTGACTCAGGAACTCCATGCTCCTTGATGTATTCTTCGAATAAGTGTCCAGCCACAGTCTGGGCGGTCTGGTCTCGCATGGGGTAAATATTGGTGTATTTACTAAAGTGATCAACAACAACCAAAATATAGTGGTACCCGCTTCTTGAAGTAGGCAGCTCGGCTATATCAGCGAAAACCATTTGAAGAGGGTGATCGGTCTTTATGCTCTGGAGTGGAGCTTGGTGCGTAGGACTTGGAGATCTAATCGACTCACAGGCAGGACAAGTTCTGCAGTAGTCGGTTATATCCTTGTGCATGAATGGCCAAAAGCACATAGATTCAGCCCTGTGTAGCGTGCGTTGAACTCCGAAGTGTCCAGAGGATGGATTACCATGTATCTCTTGCAGGACTTGAGGGATAAGAGATTCTGGCACAACTACCTGAAGAGAGGACGAACCTGAGTTGTCTTGTCGTCGTCGGTATAAGAGATCATTCTCAAGTACAAAACGAGGGAGTTGCCATAGGAGACGTCGTAGACGAGGTGATTGTCGCCGGACTTCTCTCACTGTTGGATGACGGACTTCCTTGATGTACTTGATTATTCTCTGAATGTCTTTATCGTGTTGCTGATGATACTGTAAATCAGCATGATGGCTAGCCAGGATAAAGTTCTTGGGAGCTTTATCAGCCAAAGAGTTGGATGACTGTGGAACGGTTGATTCTTGGACTGGTTGAGTGGTAGAGGAGCGTGTGTTCACCATACTAACAGGGTGTGTAACATCTTCCGGCATGCGCGACATTGCATCAGCGTTTTGATGTGCAGTGCCCTTCTTGTGAGTTATGGTGAAAGAATATGCATTCAACTCTACAATCCATCTTGCTCTCCTTCCTGTCGCATCGTCTTGGATAGGTACACTGTTGTAGCCCAACAGAGGGCGATGGTCAGTGAGAATGTTAAATTCTTGGCCTCTAAGATAATGTCTGAAATGGCGGATAGACGAGATAACTGCCCACAGTTCCCTATCGTAGGTAGACCATCTACGCTGGGACTCTGTAAGCTTCCGACTGTAGAAAGCAACCACTCGGTCATTACCATCTTGCAACTGAGAGAGTACGGCTCCAATAGCATCTTGTGAAGCATCAGTGGCTAAGCTAAACTTGTTGTTGAAGTCCGGGTATGCAAGGATTGGTGGGCTTGTGAGAGACGACTTCAGTTGGTCGAAAGCTTCCTCACAATCATCAGTCCAGATGAACTTCTTGCCTTTATGAGTCAAGTCAGTGAGTGGAGATGCCACTTGAGCAAAACTTGGCATAAACCGACGATAGTAGGAGGCAAGTCCTAGAAATGCTCTCACTTGGGTTGGAGTCTTAGGTTGAGGCCAGGATGAGACTTTCTTGGTGTTGACAGGATCGGGGCGAACTCCAGTAGTACTGATCACATGTCCCAGATAGGTTACTTCCTTTCGAAAGAATTGACATTTCGAAGGTTTCAGCTTGAGATTGGCTTCTCGGAATCGTTGTAAGACTTCCCGGAGATTGTGTAGGTGATCTTGAAATGTCTTGCCGAGAATAATGCAATCATCTAAGTAGATAAGACATGTTGACCAATGGAGACCATGGAGGACGGCTTCCATTACTCGCTGGAACGTCATTGGCGCGTTGACTAAACCAAATGGCATGACCTTAAACTGATAGAGGCCAGTTCCAGTGGTAAATGCGGTCTTCTCCTTGTCTTTCGGATCCAAGGGGATCTGCCAATAGCCTGAAGATAGGTCAATTACACTGAAGTAGGACGAGGAGGACAAAGCATCGATAGAATCGTCCTGTCGTGGAATCGGATGCGAATCCCGTACCGTAACAGCATTCAAAGCTCTGTAGTCAACACAAAACCTGTAAGTCTTGTCCTTCTTTCGCACCATAACGATGGGGCTTGCCCATGGACTAAAACTTTCCTCGATGATGTCTCGACGAAGTAGCTCATCAACCTGGTTCTGGATCTCGACTCTCATAGTTGGTGAAGTCCTGTATGCCCTTTTACGGGTTGGTGTCTCTGTTGATGTAGTGATGTCATGGTAGGCGAGGTTAGTCTGTCCAATATCCTCGGATGTGCTGCTGAAAACATCAGAGTATGAATTGAGTAGACTTTCAGCAGACTCATACTCGGTCTTGGACAGACTAGAAGTAGGAAGCATCGAAGAAGCTTGAAAAGACGAACTTTTCTGTGTGCCAGCTACAATACTGTCGATGATTTCATATTCTTCCTCACCGTCTCCAGTAGTAGAATAGAACTGCCCAAGGGTGGTGTCTGCAGATAATTGCACTGTCTCCGATGAAGGGTTGATCAGCCTGAGTAAGATGATACCATCTTGCGGTCGAGATAGAGACCTTGCACCTGCTACATGGAGATGTTCATGGATGGAGGGCTCAAAGATTCCATCGTAGTCTTGTGGAATCACATCAGGCTGAGGGGGAATAAGGCGGCCTTGGACATGTACCTCACTCATCCCAGGAAGAGTTGCCTTTCCTATCAGCGAAACATTGCACTTGAGTGGTACTTGATATTGACGACGGTCGACCAGTGGAATACTCATACCAGGCATAGTGAATGTCGTAGTAGATAGAGTGGCATCATGTTTGAACATGAAATCCCAACCAAGGACGAAAGGATGAGTTATGTTCCTTGCAACATTGAACATATGTCTGGTTGTTTTGTTACCAAGATGGATGGTGGGAGAGGTTGTGCCAATGATGTCAATGCCTTCTCTGGTTATCGTTGAAGCCAGAGTTGTCGACTTCTGTAATATACTTCGCTGGCCTTCTGGGATGGAGTAGTAGAAATCTGCACTCATCAGTGATATAAATGAACCACTGTCAATAAAAGCCAAAATATATGAGTTGTCAACGATTGCTGGAATATATGGTGGCGGAGGTGAAGGAGAAGAATGATCATTAACAGCCGAAGTAGATGGAGGTTGAGATTTGTTGTCAGTTTGAGTCTGTTTGGTCAAGAGTGGTGAAGTTGATGAGTGACTCTCCTCACCAACTACCAGTAGTTTCCCTGGTCATCGAAACGAACCTTCCTGTGCTGTTCACCGTTCAACTGATGATAAGGGGTATCCCTTGTACCAGATGCGTGGCGGTCGTCAGAACGTGAAGACTGCCAGTTAGCGTGGTTCGAGTATCTTGACTGTCGTGGGCTAGCAGATCTACCATCATCGTATGCATTACGCCTGGGTGGGGTTGACCCGCGAAGTGTACGATGATGTGTAGGGCTCTGAGTGCGTTGGTGACGTAGGGGGCTGGGCGACCTGAAGCGTCGTTGATGTGGTTGGTATGGGCTAGGCGATCGAGATGGTTGGCGCCAATGATCATCTGAATAACGGCGACTCGACCGAGACGGGTGGTCATAAGGACTTGGTGATCTCGACGGTTGGAGACGACGATCAGAGAATTGAGGTCTAGGTGTAGAGTTGCGTTTCTCCAACTTGAGTTCTAGCTCATCTAAACGCTGTAAAACCTTCTCAAGCGTCGCCGAGGTGGCATCCCTCTTCGGAGAAGTTGACGCAATGGTAAAGTCTGTTGCCACTGATGGTTGCCCCAACCGATTCGCTCTTTCAACTCGCACCGCAACATCCAGTGCCTCGCTAAACGACGTCGCACCCATCTCATGTATTCTTATCTGCAGGGGTTTGTCAATACCGGCGAGAAATCTGCGAAATTTCTCTCCATCCTTTCCTGCAGCGTCATAATTAGGGAAGGCTTCTTCCACTAGTGTCGTAATTGCTGCCGCAAAAACTTCCAAAACCTCATTCTGTTGCCGCTTCCGAGCATCGATACATGACTTGAACGTGGTCAAATAATTAGTATTCCCAAAAACAGCAGAAAGTTTCTTTCTAACCACACTGTACTCTTGTTGATCTGTGCTCGGAATACTCTCCCAAACTGTGAAAGCCGCACCCGCTAGTCTGGATGGAAGGATGAGATGCAGTTTTCTTTCTGTCTGGGGAAGAACTTCAACCGCTACTTCCAGCCTTCGTACCCACTGCCCAAAATTCCTACCGTCTGGTTTGAGGCACCAGTCATTTCGATGGCGTGGGTTCGAATCCCACCGCTGCCACCAATGTAGGGTTGCGGTTCTGACTAATTCCTAGCACTCTTAAGTACACAGAGGCAGTAATAACATACATAAATGAGCTGTAAAGGGTACATGAGCATTAATTTGTCTACATCAATAACCCACTTCTTGTAATGGCCAAAATTAAACTGATTGGATCTTTGCACAGCACAAAACGTACGACCATCCGGTCCAAGGGTCTGAAAATCAGGCTATTTATTAAATGGATTGCAATCACTTAAGTCGATTTGACAACGAACAGTTGTTATTTTCCCACTAAAAGACATTTTCATGCCCTCTTTTTGAGGGAAGTTCTAAACTTATAGTACCGTAAATCTCCGTGTATGAGGCGCACTTTTTTGCCGCCGAAAAAAATTGGAAGTCGGGGGTGCACCTTATTCCCAGGTACAAATTTTTTTTTTTTTTTTTTTTTGGTTTCGATTTATGGCGCTATGCCTGGCAATGTCTCCCAGCTCAGTAATCAGTGTGTTGACTCACCACTCGGAAACTACAACAACACTTAAATTTGTCTGTCATCTTGGTTTGAAAGTAATCTTTCTAATAGATCTCAATATGTAATTTATAATAATAATTCCTCATTTTTTAATTTTTTTTTTTAATCTCCCCAAAATAGGGGTGCGCCTTATACACAGAGATTGACGGTATTATCTTTCAAATGCCAGTGGATTTTTTTTTTTTTTCCGTTTTAAATTTTTGGCCTGCAAATGGGACATTCTGTAGTACCTTTAAGCCCAAGACCAGTTGATGGCATTTATGTAGTCAAGAGTGCCTGAAGTGGACCGTTGGAAAGTAATGATGTACAATATCTAGTGTGGAGTTGGTTTGCCACTGTAACAATGGGTGCTTCCTCGTCCAGAGATGGAGAGATAGAGAGAGAGAGGGAGAGAGAGAGAGAGAGGGAGGGCAGGGGAGAGAAAGGGGAAGGGGGACAAAACTGGTGGGGGGGGGGGGGGAGATGATGAATGAAAAAGATGATAAGTAATTATAGACCAGTTCACGGTTAGCACATGTCCTATATGACCCCGAATATCCACAGATCTTCAAAACATGAAGAGGTCCCACTTTGTATATTTTGAAATAATGACTCTTACAGTGATGGAGGTGCTATAGTTTGTTTCCCCTTTTCAAAGAATACTTCCACCTGTGTTTCATTTAGTGCACTGCTTGTGTATAAACTAATAGTGATTAAATAACTTTAATGAGCATGTATCCAGTAGTATTTTGTCTCAGTGTATTTCACAATTTGGTCTGCAATGACCTTTATCTGCTCATGCTCAGACTGCAATTATGAACTGGCTTATTTATGCTACGGTCACAAAGATTTGTACGAACGATAATTTCGTACGAATCTCCCTGTTTTTCCATTGTCTGAAAATCGTACGGCGTTCGTAGCAGTTCGTAATGGCATTTGTGACCGAGGCATAAGGCATTTCTAGTACAAATGGGAGTGTTAAGATCAGTCACAAGATAGATACCGTATATAACGGTGTATAAACCGCACTTTTTTGCCGCCGAAAAAATTTCAAAGTCGGGGGTGCGGTTTATACACGGTACACAAAAAAAAAAAAAAAAAAAATTTTTTTTTTTTTTTTTTTTTTTTTTTTTTTAAAGTTTCAATTTATGCCCCTCCACCTGGCGCTATGCCTGGCAATGTCTCCCAGCTCGGTAATCGGTGTGTTGACTCACCACTCGGAAACTAGAACAACACTCAAATTTGTCTGTCATCTTGGTTTGAAAGTAATCTTTCTGATAGATCTCAATATGTAGACCTAGTTTATAATAATAATTCCTCCAATTTTTCTTCTATTACATGGTGTACCACAAGGTTCTATCCTAGGTCCCTACTGTTTTTTAATTTACAGTGGCGTAATGATCTTACACACAAAAAAAAAATCTCGGCAAAAAAAAAAAAAAAAAAAAAAAAGTTTTTTTTTTTTTTTTTTTTTTTTTTTAAGGGCGAAAAAGAGGGGTGCGGTTAATACACGAGGGCGGTTTATACAACGTTATTTACGGTAATTACCTTTTACATGTACAAATTCCAAATGACTTTCATATTTACACAATGTATCACCATTTTATCCACTTTTGACCAATGAATTGCATCTTTTTTCAAGATTTGCAGTGACACACTATAATGACTATATTATACAGCCTACTGATTCATTGATTATTATTTTTTCTACTTATTGTCTTGTTTTAATTATTTTGCATCAATTGGGTAACATGTTTTTTTGTATTGTTTTTGTATACAGTGAACAGTGAAGCTAATCGGAAGAGGATAGAGCAGGTGGAACTATGCTTTGGAGGCTCGGGCCAGGTAAAAACATTTTCCATCTTTTTTATCATTTTAGGGTGGTAGAGATAGGAGTGAAAGAACTGGGAGTGGTACTAATAGAGAAGGCTAGGAGCCGAGGGTTGTACTGTAGAACAGCATGATGGCCTAAGTCAAACGATATGGCACTTAGAGAGAGAGAGAGAGAGAGAGAGAGAGAGAGATTCTCGAAAGCGGACTAACTTTAGTCCATGGTTTAATCCACCGACTAAGTATGGAATGCCAAGTGTCCGTATGAATATGTTTTTGAATAATTCAATCTGTCACTAGATTAAAATTAAATGTAATAACATAATTGATAAACAACAATATAACTATGATATGATTATGTTACCATGGTAATTTAGGGACAATACAATTATTCAAAAATATATTCATACATGGACACTTGGGATTTCATACTTAGTGGGTGGATTAAACTATGGACTAAAGTTAGTCCGCTTTCGAGAATACCACCCATAGTTGTTTATGGGAGCACTGTGATGAAAGTATGGCATTTATCTGCCTTTTGCTCTCTCAACCCTGGTTTACAAGGGTAGTACAGTGAAACCTGTCTATAAAGACCGCCTAAGGGAGACAAGAAAAGTGGTCTTTATAGGAAGGTGGTCTTTATGTACAGGTTCCTTTAGTGAAAATACAGTGAAACCTGTTTATAAAGACCATCCAAGGGAGACAAGAAAAGTTGTCTTTATAAGCAGGTGTTATTTATGTACAGGTTCCTGTAGTACATGTTTCAATGAGAAACAAGTTTTAAGGGAAACAAAAAATGTGGTCTTTGTAGACAGGTGGTCACTAAAGCAGGTTCGACTGTACTGTACATGTAGAGGTGTCGTAGTCGAATGGATATGTCACCGGACTGTGGAAAAAGGTTGATTAGCAAAAGCATTGCATTACACAGTTTAATGTTCCAGCTAAAGCATTTAACGTTTACTTTTCTCATACAAAATGTGTTCACTTGGGTCTCAAGTCCAACATGTTATTTGCCCGTTTGATGTACACAAACAATATATCCATGTTACGTGCAGCTTCCTTTTTGATTTTGCAGGAAAGCATTTAACATATTATAAAAATGTCATTTAGCAAATTATATGAACACATTAAAAAAAAAGGTGCTTTCCACCCCCCCCCCCCTGATTTTCATGGCTTTTAACAATCTTTTAAATGTTTGTATAGCAATTTACATGTCAGCGCGCATGTACATGACAATAATGACATACAGCCACACAGCTGCACACATTTGACATAGCTATTGGACTTTGTACGAACACTTTAATGCTTCTGGGGATGGAAGGCACATAATGTTTCTCAGTAATGGATATTTTATTGTTGTTGCCTTCTGGATATTTTTTAGTACCTCTAGGAGACTTCACTATGACATGGTAAACAGTGGAGTTTTTGTTATGATAACATTTGTAATAACCTTTAAGCAAGGATATCATTTGTAGTATAAGCACAATGCTCTCTGTATTTTCACTGTCTTATAATACACAGATAAGTCATGTGCAGTAAACATTTTGCATAGGGCTATTTTTGTGCGCAGCTTCTCATGACTTCTCTACTTGCTATTCATTTACATGTATATTTATTCTAACAAATTAAAAACATTCCAGCAGTTTTCGCCATCACCTTGTCTGAGTGATAAGCGTTTCAGTGAATCATTGAGCAAACAAGATCTGAAAAAAGAGTATGTTCATCTGGGTCCAAATGATAAATATCCATGACAACAGCTGTGTGTAAAAGCATTGGGAACTATGTGTGTCAATTTCCTTGTTTAAACCTTTATTGGATTGCAGTTTGGCAAGTTCTTATACAATACAGGGTGGGTCAAAAATAAAACAGCTAGCATACATAACGGTGGGTAACATTCACCGGTACGAGTGGAAGGCAAGCCTTTTCACATGAAAAATGATACTAATTACTAACATTGACAAATTTGTTAGAGGGGCTTCTGTTTTAGCGAGCATTCAGTGACACAATGCAGCAGTTCAAATTTTTCCAGTATAAATAAAACACAATTTGTATATTTTCATGTCTGTGTTTAATAAATTTATTAAAAACACTGAAAAAGGAAAAGGAAAATGTGTGTGGAATGCTACGTGTACAAGTTTTCCATCTGCCATTTATTACAGTTTTTTATTGAATTTATTTAATCGCTCTAAAACTGACATCAGCCTAAAAATACTGCTTTTCAGCAAGTCTGTATTAAACATGAAACAGATCATATAGACACCAAATTGCATAGGCACCAAATTGTATATAAATACACAGGAAAAAACAACTTTAAGAAAACAAAGTGAAGAGAGAAAGCTAATACACAAAAAGGAATACAAATATAAGTATAAAAAGTGTCATATGAATATTAAAAAAAAAGGATCATCAAGTTCAATTAAAAAGCTTGTTTGAAGCTCAGGCATCATACCACTTCTAAAAGTAAAGGTGGACACAAGAAAATAGTATTTTCTTCAAGGAGCACTGCTACATAAGTCTGCTAGTGGATGTCTTCGATGTTGTTTCAAAATAATGGGTCTAGAAACAAAAGCACTCAACCAATTAAGGCAAATTAGGATTCACTTTTCTTCTAAACAGATTCCCCATCTATTAGTACTAGTGAAATTTGCCCCGTATTATCAGAAATATGCTAGTCTGTGTTGTCTTTATCAGACTCATTTTGGAGTTCATTTGAGATGTTTACATGAAAGTCCGTTGACAGTCATAGATATCCGGAACATTCGTGTTTGTGATTAAAGGGGAAGTCCACCCTGAAATTAAGTTAGTTTTAATAGGAGTAGAAAAATGAGAGAAACGAGTCGGTGAAAGTTTGAGCAAATTCTGATTAAAAATAAGGAAGTTAGGATTTTTGAAGTTGTGATCAATCAAACACAAATTGGCAACTCTATGACGTATCGTGCGAGCTCAACTTCCATTTGCTCAGTACTAAAAAAATCTAAAATTTTCATTTTCCCTCAAGAAAAATTTCAACCATACATGCACCCTAAATATAATAATTGCAAATATGTTTCTATACTCCCCCTGCAAGGAACAAATATATATTCTGTCATCAATAACGAAGAAAACATGATGTTATGGAATATTATGCACAAAGCAAATGAAGGAGAGCTCGTATAATAAGTCACAGAGTTGCCAATTTGTATTTGATTGATCACAACTTCAATAATTCATAACTTTCTTATTTTCATTCAGAATTTGCTCAAACTTTCACTCACCTGATTTTCTTATTATTCTGCCTCTATCGAAACAAACTTATTTTGGGGGTGGACTTTCCCTTTAAAGTGGAACAATATGAGACTATATTCAATAGGTTCATGCCAAAATAATTTTGCTACCATTAATTCATTAGAAGTAGACTTGGAAACACATTCTGGTACATCGTGTGTGGTAATCAAATTGCTTTATACATGTAGTATACTAGGCTCTTTGCCTAAAGAGTGCATGTATTCAATTTGCTCCTTTTCAAGTATTCGACATACAGTTAACACGTTACTAAATTATTTATAACCCTTTTAGATTTGATGTTTTTTTGTGTTATTCGTAACTCAAGAATGAATGATGGACTTGTTGAATTACAATGTAGGGCCCTTGTCGAATACTTTTAATGTAAGCTTCGATATCCCACTCTCGAGAAACATCAGTCAGGACAAATCTATTTTTCACATGCTTAAAGTGTTTACAAAACTTGGTAAAGCCAAAGGAATGAATAATTTATTTGTTAACTGACTGAAATGCCATTATGTTCTACACCCAGTCCGTCTACTATCCACATCTATGGTCTAATAATAATTTTGTCTACTTATCATTTGGTCTAATGACCATTTAGGGTAATAGCCATTTGGTCTATCGTTCATTTAGTCTAATTACCATAACCAGTTTAGTCTAATTTCCAGTTTGTCTAATGCCATACACTACTATCCATAAGGTCTAATAAAATTTCATATGATGATTATTATCATTTATGATTAAACTATTACTAGACCATGTGGATAGTAGACGGGCTGGGTGTAGACCATATGGGAATAGATCAATGGGTGGTAGACGAACTGGTTGTGGACCAAACTGCTATAAGGCATTAACGATTAAACATGCACACTTCCCCTTTAAAGGCATCGTTTAAAAATGTCAAACCTGAGATGTATGGCCCTACGTGTTATCAGTGTCTGTGATATGGTGCAATATTGAAGCCCTAAAAAAAAAAAAATTGCTTCAAAATGATCTAGAAGTGCCTCTAAAAAAGTAAAAATCTTTGAGTGACCGGTTTTACCATACTTGTTTTCCCCAATAGACTATAGTGTTAGGAAAACGCAAAATTTGGTTTTGATTTCCAATCACAAATATCTTGATAATCATACAGACGATCGGCTTGTTAAAGTCATCGGGTTTCTGACTGACCTAAAGGTTTATAATTATAATTGCAGCATGAGCTAAATCCAGGATTTTGTTTTTGAATATGAGACAAAGTTACTGGATCCCTTTAATCACTACCCCTCCTGATACTGGAACAGGTGAATCATATTTTTATTTCCTTTCCGTGCTGACCTTCAGAGATTCTCTTCAAAACACACTGTCATCCTGAAGGTTAACCACCGCATTAGTCACCCATCCAACTTGGTAGGATACTACGGCTGTGTTCATACTGAAGGTTAACCACCGCATTAGTCACCCATCCATCTCTGTAGGATACTACGGCTACGGCTGTGTTCATACTGAAGGTTAACCACTGCATTAGTCACCCATCCATCTCTGTAGGATACTATGGCTGTGTTCATACTGAAGGTTAACCACTGTATTAGTCACCCATTCAACTCTGTAGGATACTATGGCTGTGTTCACATCAGAGAGCTGGGCAAGATTAAGAAGTTAAACTTATAATAATAATGAAAATAACTTTCGATTTATTTAGCGCATAACGATTAACACTTAATTCTCTAAGCGCTTTATTAAAAAAGTGCACTTTACAATCTACATCAACATCACGGACAGCATTGCCAGCGAGTTTAGGTACTCTAGGACGGCAGCCATGTAAACGGGCCCACCGCATACTATATGTCCCGATTTTGGAAGAATTTGCAATAGCATTTGATGAGAACATTCATATGTGTAACATGTTAAGCTTTAGTCATCTACATGTATCTCTGTAACTACTACAGCTATGTTCATATTGGATAGATCATCAAGATTAAGAATTCAAACTTCTTGTTTTTGTGGGCAGCATTGCCAGCGAGTTCCAAGATTTCTGCAATCTGGTACTCTAGGACGGCACTTTAGAACTTTCAAACGTGTAAAATCTTCAGCTTTAGTCATCTATCTCTGTAGTATACCACGACTGTAGCCTGTGTTCATAAAGACAAGTCATCAATATTAAGAATTCAAACTTCTGTAGCCCACCGCACACTATACGATCCAACTATGATCAGATTTTTGGAAGAATTTGCAATGATTGGTATTAGATGTGAGCATTCAAACATGTAAAATTTTCATGACCGAGGATCTGAATAGTCATGTATGATTTAGATATTCTAAATTCCAAGAGATTTCATGCTTCCTTGGACGAGGAAAAGATAAACAGGCTCAGAATCGTACCGACGTCAGAGCATTCATGCTTTTGTCTACGATTTAAAGCCGATTCTGCCTTTTTTCTGACTTGAAGAGTTCAATGCACTAACATTCTGGTTGTTTGTATGCTTGTCATTATTTAGAAGCTAAATCAGGTAGATGTCTAGATGCTTGTTTAGATTTCCTATCTAATACAATTGCCATTATATGGTCACACAGGCATATGTTGTGTTCACGCGAACATCTTATACCGGTACATTATCAAGTTTACAGTACATGTATTAACTTTAAAAGGTGATGCATTCATATTTGGAACATCTTGGAACTTTTATCCTTCACATTAATTTGTGCACATGTATGTACATGTATGTATGCTGTGTTCATACTGAACATCTTATATATGTAATATACAGCTTTCAGAAATCAAGCCTTTAGAAGATGCAGTACTAGGTAATAATTAAGTCCACCTTTTTTAGAGTACTTCCTTCTCCTCATTCCTGCTCAGTCTCTTGCATTACCTGACAAGTACTGTACATGTATGCATGTCTTTTTAACCCTTCAGATACTGTTTTCACACTGGCAATATTTTGCTTAACCCTGTACTATAGGTGGGGTTAAGGGGGGGGGGGGGTCTTAGCCCTACCTATAGTACGGGGTTAAGCCTATTCCATTTTCTGTTCAGACTGGCTTTTACCAAAGTGGGCTAAAGTTGGCTAACCCTACCTATAGAACGGGGTTAACTAACCCTGCAAAATAGCAGGGCTAACCCCGCAATTGTGGTGCTGACTCCTGCTAACCCTGCAATTGCGGTGCCAAGCAAATGAATGAAAATAGTACGGTACTACGCAATGGAGCGTATCGCAGCTGGCCAGATGCGAAGCATGTCCAATCATAACATACACGATATCCGGGGTTAACGAATTGCAGTGGGGACAGCGTGAATTTTCTTATTCCGGAATACACTGTAGGTGCGAGTACGGGACTAAAAACAGCGTGTGTGAAAAGCCCCCCAAAAAAGTCCGGGGTTAAGGATAGTACGGGGCGAAGCAAAGTACAGGGTTAAGCAAAACCAGTGTGAAAAGAGTATTGGACAGGGTTTATATTTAGGGCTAAATATATCACACATTTTCCCTTCAAATTGGCAACAATTATATTTTTCTTTTCTTGCTGCATTCTAAAAAAAAAAATGTACCAGTAATGTCTCTAAAGACAATGTTGAGAAGTTGAGAAAATGGCAAATTTTGATCAATACATGTAGATAATAGGATTTTGAATCTCTCAAAGTGTTGTCAATTTTAATAAGGATTTAATAGTTTATTTTTCTCTTTAGAATTCATGGCATCGAACGCAATATAGTCGTGAAACAAACACAGAAGCTGTGTGCAAACAAGTTTGTACCCTTTGAATATACTCAAGCATCTGACATATTTTTAATTGCTCTGATTCAAAAGTTATTAAGCCAAACCACACGATGTAAAATGACAGTTGCGAACTAGTTTCCCTCTCGTACAATGCCACTCAAGTACTATCAAATTACTGCGAGAGCAATTATATAAGGAATATTAATACAGATGAGGCTGCCCTGGGTAAACGAGACATGTTAGTAATACTATTGTTAGAAGCTTCACAGTTCATCTAGGCAATAAAGCTTCTTTTGTATTTCAAGCATGAAGAAAGACAATCTTCCTTTGTCAAAATATATTAGTTTGAGTTTGAGTTTGAGTTTGAAGTTTATTATCCAAACAAAAAAGTACATCAATATATAACAATCAAATGTGAATGGTTAACATTGAAAGGATAAATGGGACCAGAAAATAACATTTAGTGGTGAAGTGTGAAGTTATCAAAAATCTATTCTTAGAATTTCTCAATTTTTTCTTCATTTTCCGAAAGAGCATCAAAAATAATTTCCAAATGTCAAAAACCAATTGAATATATTAAGTATTGGCTGAGATACAGTGTATGATCATCTGAAGCAATATATTTCCTACAGGAACTCAGTGTTATATGCTCTGGCTCCTAATGGTTAGGAGCCAGAGCATATAACACTGAGTTCCCATAGCATAGGCAATCTTTTTTATTCAGATGGTCATATCTCAGCCAATACTTAACATATTCAATAGGTTTTCGTCATTTAGACATTGTTTTCTTATACTCTTTCGGAAAATGAAGAAAAAAATTGAAAAATTCTAAAAATATATTTTTGATGACGTCACACTTCACCACTCTATGAAGACCTTAATATTTTGTTTCTCTTGGTTTCGCATTGAAACATGTACTAAAGGAACCTGTACAGAAAGATTACCTGCCTATAAAGACCACTTTTCTCCCCTGAGCAGTCTTTTGTACATGTTTCACTGTATCATAGTTTATGCAATTGAAGCCATTTGTGACACTAAGGGATTAATACAGCAATTCAGCAATGGCTCATTAACATATTTTTGTCAAATGTCATTTTTACATTTTCTGTCCTCATTCCATTTCCTTTGTTACCTCTAGCATTTCCAGGGAGAGAGAGAGAGAGAGAGAGAGCGAGAGAGAGAGAGGGAGAATATTGTAAGGAAACCGTGTCCTTGCCAAAGAAAAAGAAAAAGAGAGAAAGAAGGAAATGATTGAAGCAATACTTACAATGTACCTCTAGATTTACAGTTCATTGTGAATGCAAGTACCTCATGTACATGCTTTTCTAATATTGTAGTAATGGCTGAGCATAGACATTTTAATTTGGAATTTGATATTTTCCAGAAGACTTCCTTATAAAGCAGTGAAGGTAGTTTTTTAGAAATCAATTTCCTCATCCTTGTTCATCTTTAAAGCCCCACTGCACAACTTATAGCTACTTGCATCCTCTATTGCAAGCAATGCCTAATCAGTGCATGTTGGTCCCCCATGATCCTCTTTTTCAGTGACCTTGCATGGAGGTCTAATCCCCCTGGCCAAACTAGTGCATGTTTATTTATTCCCTGAGCTCTGGGCTATTTATTAGACACAGAAATGTGAAATGTATTTCAATTATAAAATGTCATTACAACAACAAAGTCGCTGAGGTTTCACTGTATACCGTGCTATATCTGATGCTAGGAGTCCACTGGGCCAGCGCCAGTTCGCGCCAAAGATTATGTGATCGGCTCGCTGTGGCGCCGAATTAATGTCCGCTCGGCATAAACTGGGTGCCATATGGCGTGCGCCAAATGCCACCCGGCTTGCTCCAAAATGTTGCGCCAGTTTGCGCCAGTTCGCGCCATTACACGGCCATTTGATTCCAAAATTCACCCTGTTGGCGCCGTTCGCGCCAATAGACGGCTACTTTGCGCCACTTGTTGATTAGTTTGTGCCAAAGGTCGCCAAATTGGTTTGAACTTGCCGCCGATTGGCGCTACTTGCCGACTATATAAATACCGGCCATTGGCTACCTGGTTCAGAGCCTCCTCAGCTGCTGTATGAACAACATCTCTCCTAAATATTTACAATTTTGATATGTCTGAGGCTTTTGATAATGTTAGAGTGATGATAATAATAATAATAATAATAATAATAATAATAATAGCCTAATAGTCCACTCCAAATTTTATTAAACCGAAATGGAAATTCTTTTTGCCCAATTGATCGTGAGCCCGGCAGCCACTGAGCAGCGCCAGATCGACGTTGCTCTATCCCTTTTTGTTGAACGCCAAACAAGGTAGCAACAACTCCATCTTTTAACGTCTTTTGGTATGACGCGGCCGGGGTTCGAACCCACGACCTCCCGGTTGTGAGGCTGACGCTCTACTGACTGAGCCAACACTCCGGTTTGATGCTGCTCCATCAGAAGATGAGAGATGCTGAGGTGGCCACTGCACATTTGGCGCACTTTGGCAGGCTATCCGCCTCTGTTGGAATTATTTGGCGCGAAAATCTCATTGGCGCAACTTGGCGTGCGCCATTACATTCCAGTGGATTCCAATAGGCGGATTGTTTGCACCAAAGGGCGATATGTTTCGCACCATTTGGTGCCACTTGGCGGACACTTGGCGCTGATTGCTCGATGCAAGTGGCGCGACGAAAATTTCAAACATTTTGAAATTTTCTTGCCGCCACATTCAAATTTGGTGCCGTTACGGGCCACCACGAGCCAGTTGGGAGGCAGTTTGAGCCACTACACGCCACTAGGCACCTTATTGGCGACACTAGGCGCCACAGTAAATTACATTGGCGCAAACTGGCACCAACTTGCGCTGGCCTAGTGGACTCCTAGCATGAACGAAGCTTAACAACTTTTTTATCCTCCATCTTGTCTCTGCAGCCCCTAGCTGTTCCAGGGCGGGTGTTGGTCGGCGAGGGAGTCCTCACAAAGAACTGCCGGAAGCGATGCAAACCTCGTCAATTCTTCCTCTTCAACGATGCCTTGGTCTACGGCAATATTGTACTCAGTAAAAAGAAGGTATTAAGACTACAATACTGCCACACTTTCATAATGATAATAAACCATTCTTACATGTATATAGCACATATCACAAAAATTAATTGAAGTTCCTATGAGCTCAGAAAAAAGAAAAGGAGATAATAGTAGACATGAGGGAAAAGAAGAGAAAAATTAACTGCTTTGTCATAACAGTATACTATTTTAACAAACAAAATAATGTGTCTTTAAGAGACTCTTGAAATTTTCTACTGTATCCACCTATAGACAGTTTTGTCCTTTACTCTCTCTCTCCGCTGTCTCTTTCTATTTCTCTCTCTCTTCCTTCTCTCTCTCTGTCTCTTTTCCTTTATCTATCTATCTCCTTTTCTCTCCTCACACACGTTTTTTCTTCTCTCTTTATGTCTCCTTTCTTAAACCTCTTTACTTCCCCTTTTGTTTCTCTTGTTTCTCCTCGCTCTGAAAAAACAACAACCGAATGTTGTACTTTACAATCAGCAGGAATACCTAAATGAGTCGTATTTGTATCCAGTTTGAGAGTAGTAATCATTCAAACTAGACAAAATTCTGTGCCTGTATCAACAAAAAACATGTATTTTACTGTAGAGGAAGAAATAAAGTTATTTGGATGGAAATGCAGTACCCCGTTTATATTATCTAATGTGTACAAATGAAATTTTCCTTTTGAAATTTATGTACCGGTACATGTATGTTGATAGTGTGTATGATATTTGTTTTCTCTCTTTTTATCTTTGTTTCATATTTTTCTCTTCAGTATAACAAGCAGCATGTATTGCCATTAGAAGACGTGAGGTTAAAATCCGTCGACGACGAAGGCAGTAAGTGACTTTTTTTCAATTTTACGTAAACATTCCTCATTTATTTTGGGGCATTGCAGGGTTTGCGCTGTGAAAATCTCAAAACTTGTATGAGGGCCAAAATGTTAAAAAATCGTAGTTGAAAACTTTCCTGAAAATATAGTGGCATAATATTCATTATTAAAAGTACAGTCATTTTTCTTTTGAAGTTTGAATTTTGCAAGTGGCAGTGTTCTATTCTCCCCATTTGTTGTGTAAAAATTACATCTTTCATTTTCATTCATAGAGAAAAGCACAGTGTATCTTGTTTTGAAATTTTGCTCATACTTTCATGAACTCAACTTGCTGCTTCAGATAAATTGTTGAGGGCTTGCATACTGATACTGGCTTTAAAGCTGACTTACAGGAATTACAGTAAATTATTGTTACAATTTATTGATAGTTATTGTTGTTTTTGTTGTTTAGGCATGAGATATTTATTATTGCTGTCGTTCCGATGCAGGATCCTGCAATGCGCGCTCCAGAACGATCGGCGCAATGATCAGTGACAGGAGTACAAATATTATACAACACTGCGCCAGAACGCGACGGCGTGATAATCGTCCGACTGCAGTAGGATTAATTGATTTAATATATATACGCGCAGCGCTGGCAAGCGTTTAAGCCGGTACACTGTACATGCGCACGACACAAAATTATGTATCGAGTGTCCCGACATTGACATTTCTATATTATAAACAAGTCGGAGTTAAAATAACTTCTACCACAGCTGTGCGTGTGTTTATAAACATGACATTTACTAATAATTTCTACGTACAATCGTGCGTTTGTTAATAAACATGACGGAGTTAAAATAATTTCTACTACAACTGTTTGGTTGTTTTTAAACATGACGGAGTTTAAAATAATTTCTTCTAAGACCGTGTGTTTGTTTATATTACATGACGGAGTTTAAATAACTTCTACTACAAATTATGTGCGTTTGTTTATGAGCATCACGGAGTTAATATAATTTCTACCACAATTGCATGTGTGTAATTTGTTTATAAACATTACATTTAAAAATGATTTCTACTACAAATATGCGTTTGTTTATAAACATGATTAATCATGGAGTTAAAATAATTTCTACTACAACTACCGGTATTTGGTTGTTTTTAAACATGACAGAGTTTAAAGTATTTGTTCTAATTAAGACCGTGTGTTTGTTTATAAACATGACGGAGTTTAATAACTTCTAGATCTACTACAAATTCTGCGTTTTTTTTATAAGCATGACAGAGTTTAAGTAATTTCTACTGCTACAAGTACAACTGTGCGTAATTTGTTTATAAAAATGACAGAGTGAAATAAATTGTACGACAACCAAGAAGACTGCTACAACCAGGGTATGTGAGTTTCTAAAACACCTCCCTGCTACAACTGTGCGTTGGTTATAAACGCGACAAAATAATTTCTACTAAATCTACATCCGAACACACATGACGGGAGTTATGATAGAATTTCTAGGTCATCACAACTGAACCCAACGCTATATCCACACACACACACAAAAAAAACATGTGCTCAGCTAATGTCCAACACACTGCTTGGGCGGCCTGTGCCAATCGATAATCAGCTTTGAGACTAATTTCTTTAAAAGTTTATCGGAGTGCTACTGTATATCCAAATCATAATGAAACTGTCTTCTACTCGAAAAGGGTCTTCTCATTGGCTAAATAATAATTTGCAAGTTTATTTTTTGAAAGCAAATGTTTGCTTGTTTTCAGTTGTCATTTATTCTCCTGAGGTATTCCAAGTGGTATGAAGTCTGAATTGGCAGACTATACAAGCCCTGTAACTTCTTGGTTTCAGCTGGCTGGGGCGTGTCATATATCTTAGATAAGAACTGTCAAAACATGTCTGGGAAATGTAATCACGTACTGTAACCATGGAGATCTCTTCTTATATCTCCATGCTGTAACCCCTCTTACTTTTATGACAATGAGATTGCCATCCAAGGGGGGGGGGGGGAGGATTTTGATGTGAAATATTTTCAATCAAAAGTCGCCACCATATATGTTCTACCTCATTTTCTTTTTCTTTCGCAATTTTGGAATCCTTTCATATAAATATATATTTTAAGTCATGACCTTTTTATACAGGTATGCGAATTTTATATTTTTGACGTAACCTCAAAGGGGCGAGTTAAAAGCACACAGCTATGATGACAATTTGGCAAATCCAAATTCATAATTACTATCGTTTTGTCTACAACTAGTTCATCTAATAAACAAGGAATTACACCCAAGAGTCTGTTGGCCATTGGATAGGCCATGATTTCTTGTCGAACATGGAGACTTTTTGCGATCGGGGGCGGGGGAACTGAATTCAGACAAGGATTATTTTTTAATTTTTTTTAAATTTGTTTTTTATTGGGTGCTCAAACATAACATGAAAGCCAACTTGCTGTTTACAATCATGTACAGGAATGTGAAATGACAAAAACATCATATAGTCCACTACAACTCAAATATAAACTTTTTAAAATGGAGGCTTAACTTGCCATATTTGGCTGCAATTACATATTCAGATTTAGACTTAATTTTTATCCTAAATATAAGACCATGAAAATTTGGTTTCTCTTTCTTAAATTTGCAGCAGTGAATGTCGAACCTGGTAGGCTGGTACACAGAAGAAAGAAATTTATATATATTGAATTTTGATAGTCCTTGGGACAACCAAACATTCTTTCAAAATCCGAAAAAAATAACTTCTTTTTTAAGTTTTAAAGATAGAGAATTCAGACAAGGATTAATAGTCGAGGAGGTACAACGAACCGTCTTCTTTCTCTTATAATTTATTGAAATGTCAAAGCTTCCGCGCGGGGGAGGGGGGGGGGGGGTACTAAATTCAGACAAGTATTAAGAGTCGATAAATGTAAACGAATCCTCTTCTTTCTCTAATAATGTAATGAAATGTCAGAGCTTCCACGCTTCGCGCTGGAGTGGGGGGGGGGGGGACTGCATTCAGACAAGCATTAATAGTCGAGAACGGTACAACAACGAATCAACTTCTTACTCTAATAATTTAATGAAATGTCAGAGCTTCCACGCTTCGCACTGGAGGGGGGGGGGGAAACTGAATTCAGACAAGGATTAATAATCGAGAACGGTACAACGAATCGTCTGCTTTCTCTAGTAATTTATTGATGTCAAAGCTTCCGCACGGGACGGGGGGGGGGGGGACTAAATTCAAACAAGGAGTAAGAGTCAAGAACGGTACAATGAATCGACTTCTTTCTCTAATAATTTAAGGAAATGTCAAAGCTTCCGCACGGGGCTGGGGGGGGGGGCTGAATTCAGGCAAGGATGATTAAGAGTCAAGAACGGTACTACGAATCGTCTTCTTTCTCTAGTAATTTAAGGAAATGTCAAAGCTTCCGCATGGGACGGGGGGGGGGGGGGGGGGGGTGGGGGCTGAATTCAGACAAGGATTAAGAGTCAAGAACGGTACAACGAATCGACTTCTTTCTCTAATAATTTAATGACATGTCAAAGCTTCCACGCTTCGCACTGGAGGGGGGGGGGGGGAACTGAATTCAGACAAGGATTAATAATCGAGAACGGTACAACGAATCGTCTGCTTTCTCTAGTAATTTATTGATGTCAAAGCTTCCGCACGGGACGGGGGGGGGGGGACTAAATTCAAACAAGGATTAAGAGTCAAGAACGGTACAACGAATCGACTTCTTTCTTTAATAATTTAATGACATGTCAAAGCTTCCACGCTTCGCACTGGAGGGGGGGAGGGAACTGAATTCAGACAAGTATTAAGAGTCGAGAACGGTACAACGAATCGTCTTCTTTCTCTAGTAATTTAATGAAATGTCAGAGCTTCCACGCTTCGCGCTGGAGTGGGGGGGGGGGGGACTGCATTCAGACAAGCATTAATAGTCGAGAACGGTACAACGAATCAACTTCTTACTCTAATAATTTAATGAAATGTCAGAGCTTCCACGCTTCGCACTGGAGGGGGGGGGGAACTGAATTCAGACAAGGATTAATAATCGAGAACGGTACAACGAATCGTCTGCTTTCTCTAGTAATTTATTGATGTCAAAGCTTCCGCACGGGACGGGGGGGGGGGGGGGGACTAAATTCAAACAAGGAGTAAGAGTCAAGAACGGTACAATGAATCGACTTCTTTCTCTAATAATTTAAGGAAATGTCAAAGCTTCCGCACGGGACTGGGGGGGGGGGGCTGAATTCAGACAAGGATGATTAAGAGTCAAGAACGGTACTACGAATCGTCTTCTTTCTCTAGTAATTTAAGGAAATGTCAAAGCTTCCGCATGGGACGGGGGGGGGGGGGTGGGGGCTGAATTCAGACAAGGATTAAGAGTCAAGAACGGTACAACGAATCGAATTCTTTCTTTAATAATTTAATGACATGTCAAAGCTTCCACGCTTCGCACTGGAGGGGGGGGGGGGGAACTGAATTCAGACAAGGATTAATAATCGAGAACGGTACAACGAATCGTCTTCTTTCTCTAGTAATTTAATGAAATGTCAAAGCTTCCACGCTTCGCACTGGAGGGGGGGGGGGGAACTGAATTCAGACAAGGATTAATAATCGAGAACGGTACAACGAATCGTCTTCTTTCTCTAATAATTTCCGAAATGTCATATTTCCGCCTTGGATGGGGGGGGGGGGGGGGGGACTGAATTTAGATAAGCATTAATAGTCGAGAAATCGTCTCTTTCTCTAGTAATTTAATGATTATGTCAAAGCTTCCGCACGGGACGAGAGGGGGGGGGGGGGGGGGACTGAATTTAGATAAGCATTAATAGTCGAGAAATCGCCTTCTTTCTCTAATATTGAAGGAAATGTCATATCTTCCGCGCGGGACGGGGGGGGGGGTGGACTGAATTCAGACAAGGATTAAGAGTCAAGATCGGTACAACGAATCGTCTTCTTTCTCTAATAATTTAAGGAAGTGTCAAAGCTTCCGCACGGGACGGGGGGGGGGGGCTGAATCCAGACAAGGATGATTAAGAGTCAACAACGGTACTACGAATCGTCTTCTTTCTCTAGTAATTTAAGAAAATGTCAAAGCTTCCGCATGGGACGGGGGGGGGGGGGGGGCTGAATCCAGACAAGGATTAAGAGTGAAGAACGGTACAACGAAATGTCTTCTTTCTCTAATAATTTAATGAAATGTCAAAGCTTCCGCACGGGACTGGGGGGGGGGGGGTGTGGCTGAATTCAGAAAAGGATTAAGAGTCAAGAACGGTACAACGAATCGTCTTCTTTCTCTAGTAATTTAATGAAATGTCAAAGCTTCCGCACGGGACGGGGGGGGGTGGGCTCAATTCAGACAAGGATTAAGAGTCAAGAACGGTACTACGAAATGTCTTCTTTCTCTAATAATTTAATGACATGTCAAAGATTTCACGCTTTTGCACTGGAGGGGGGGGGGGGGGGAACTGAATTCAGACAAGGATTAATAATCGAGAACGGTACAACGAATCGTTTTCTTTCTCTAGTAATTTAATGAAATGTCGAAGATTTCACGCTTCGCGCTGGAGGGGATCGGGGGGGGGGGCTGAATTTAGATAAACATTAATAGACGAGAACGGTACAACGAAACGTCTTCTTTCTCTAATAATAATTGAAGGAAATGTCATATCTTCCGCGCGGGACGGGGGGGGGGGGGGCTGAATCCAGACAAGGATGATTAAGAGTCAACAACGGTACTACGAATCGTCTTCTTTCTCTAATAATTTCATGAAATGTCAAAGCTTCCGCACGGGACGGGGGGGGGGGGGGGTGGGGCTGAATTGATACAAGGATTAATAATCGAGAACGGTATACAACGAATCGTCTTCTTGAAAGCTTCGCGCAGGAGGAGGGGGGGGGGGCTGAATTCAGACAAGGATTAAGAGTCAAGAACGGTACTACGAATCGTCTTCTTTCTCTAAAAATTTCATGAAACCGCAAAGCTTCCGCACGGGACGGGGGGGGGTGGGGCTGAATTCAGACAAGGATTAAGAGTCAAGAACTGTACTACGAATCATCTTCCTTCTTTAAAAATTTAATGAAATGTCAAAGCTTCCGCACGGGACGGGGGGGGGGGGGCTGAATTCAGACAAGGATTAAGAGTCAAGAACGGTACAACGAATCGAGTTCTTTCTCTAATAATTTAATGATATAAAGCTTCCACGCTTCGCACTGGAGGGGGGGGGGGGAACTGAAATCAGACAAGGATTAATAATCGAGAACGGTACAACGAATCGTCTTCTTTCTCTAGTAATTTAATGAAATGTCAAAGCTCCCACGCTGCGGCTGGAGGGGAGGGGGGGGGGGTGGACATTATAGTCGAGAACGGTACAACGAATCGTTTTCTTTGTGTAATAATTTAATGAATATTTATTGTCACAAAACAGAGATCCATATTTGACTATTCATTAAAATACTGCAGAAAAGGGATTTAATTCTAAAATCACCACTGAGATAATTCGCTATCATGAGTCATGACTGGTATCGTGATCTTAGCATTGCGAACTTAAGACTCCTCAATCATATCGATCGTAACAATTTTTAATAAAATTGCTGAATTTTATAATCAAAATTTTGTATCATTGCTTCAATTTTCGAAAAAAATAACCGACATGACATGACAAGTAGGGCCTAATTCATACAGGCACATCACAACCACACAAACACACAAACAAGCAACAAAATAGGCCTACACCGCGAATAGATCGAGGAGCTCGAAATGACTGTCTAAATAATAGGAACACTAGACAAGATTAGTTTCGCATTATTACGATTAGAATTTTATAAAAGAATCATGGGTATTAAATAAATAACTTGATACTTTATCGTCTTTATTAACAATTGATTTTCACATCTATCCCGATTTTGACTCTCGTAGACTTAATTTCCCCATCAATCTATTCTCTCGCTCTTTCCCTCCCTCCATCTTCCAAGTGTACCCCTTCCTCTCCCTCTCTCTTGTCTCCATCTTTCCTCATGTTTGTTTATCAACACCCAAGGAATTGCGCGCAGGGCCTTTGTTCAAACAAAGTTCAAGGGTTCAAATGGGCGGCATTTTGTCTCCTCGCATTCAAATCTCAAAATAGAACTCCAGTTCAGAATTGCGCAATATACCTCTCAGCCAAACATAAACAAAAGGTTTAGATTTTAATGGGTCAAGATTTACGTGCCGATACGTCTTTTTTACACGAGGTCGTGGACAGAATTGAGGTTAGATTTATCATGGAATGTGTTGATAAAACCCAAGCAATTTATATTTTGCATACTTAGATCTATAGCTTGAAATTAAATTGTGAGCAAATAAACTTCACTATTGTAAAACCCATCGATCTATAGCTTGTAATAAAAACTAATCAGGAATAATCTCAATCACATTGCTCTGCAATTCCAACGCTCTAGCTCGCTCACTCCATTTGGCTTGCGCCTATACCATGCGCGGAGATAGCCAACGTGGCTAGCTAGGCTGAGAGTACGTAGCGGCCGCGCTGTGTCTTCAGCTAGCGCATCCTTTTATGATTGCTGTGCATGTGCGCACTGAAATTCGTCCTCCTGCGTCGCGATGATTTCAAACTAATAATTAAATTTGGAGACTGCAGTCAGGCAAAGTGCGCGTACCAAATTCGTCCTCTTGCGTCGCGACGATTTCAATTTGATAATTAAATTTGGAGACTGCAGTCAGGCAAAGTGCGCGTACCAAATCGGCGCCGATCGTTCCATGCAGGATCCTGCATCGGAACGACAGCAATAATAAATATCTCATGCCTTAATGATGTTCACGGTTGATATATGTATACTACTTTATTTTTTATTTGTTAGATTTTATATTACTTTATTGTTTATAGATTGCATGTAAATGTACTGTTTATATCATTTTCAGATTTGAAGAATGGCTCGTAAATCATTGATGCAACCAAGTCATTCATAGAGTATGCTACCACAGCACAAGGGCAGAGATTTACAATAGTTGATACTGTCAAACCTCTCTATAGCGACCGCCCAAGGGAAACACAAAAAGTCTTTGTAGACATGTTCCTTTAGTACATGTTTCAATGTGAAACCATTTTCAAGGGAAACAACAAATGTGGTCTTTGTAGACAGGTGGTCACTAAAGCAGGTTTGACTGTACATGTTGTTATTGTTTTTTAATTTTATGTTTTGTTTACATTGTTGTTATTGTTGTTTCTCATTGTTGTTTCAGATTTAAAGAATGGTTGGCAGATCATCAGTGCGACCAAGTCATTCACAGTTTACGCTGCCACGGCAACAGAGAAATCTGAATGGATGGCCCATATAAACAAATGCATCTCAGATCTCCTAGCAAAAAGTAAGTCTAAAAGTTAAAATCAGTGCTAAAGTTGTTTTAGTTATCCAATTGTTTTGACTTTCATTGGTTTAATCCAATTTAAGGTTTTTTTCAGCTAGCAAAACCAGAAATTTTGATTGGTTATTGGAACTAAACTGGATTGTAATAGCTACAACTGTATGTTGTTCATTGATATTAATGTATCGCACTGACTTATTGATAAACAAACAAATATGAATAGTGTATTTAGCTTAAGCTTTTTCTGAGTTTCTCGTGCACATTGCCTCAGCCCCCGTCATTGTTTTCCCCACTTTTACTTTTCAAGATAATAATTTTGAATATGTAATATCATTTCTTTAAAGATGATTTCTTTACATTTGATCAGCAAAGACCACATTTTTGTTTCTCTTGAGAATGGTTCCTCATTCAAACATGTACTAAAGGCACCTGTACATAAAGATAACCTGCCTAAAAAGACCACTTTTCTAGTCCCAACGGGGCATTGTGGCGTGCGCCTGTAATCCAGCTAACAATGGAAGTTACAAACTGATTCAGCCGAGGCACAAGTTCGAAACTGAGTCACGTCTTTCGGATGGTGACTTTAAAGGTCGGTCCCCAGACGTAAATAATCATATCTGATTGAAATACATAGGTAAAAAACCCAATTACACACACACACACGTACACACACTCCCTTTGGTGGTCTTTATAGACAGGTTTCACTGTATTGTAAGGCAATACATCTCACTAAACATTGTCTGTTTGTCCTTCTAGGTGGGAAGAAGCCCGCTACAGAGCTTAGTCCCGTCTGTTTCCCTCGAGAAATGTTTCTCATTCAAACATGTACTAAAGGAACCTGTACATAAACACTTTTCTTGCCTCCCATTGGTGGTCTTTATAGACAGGTTTCACTGTATTGTAAGGCAACACATCTAACTAGACATTTGTTTGTTTATCCTTCTAGGTGGGAAGAAGCCCGCTACAGAGCTCAGTCCTGTCTGGGTGCCGGACCATGATGCCCCTCACTGTATGCTTTAATAAGAGATTTACAGCGCTGTTCAGAAGGGTGAGTTATTTACATTTCGAAAGTCGTAAATTTTGAGAAAAACCTTGTTCCGACCACTAAATATGACCATAGAGTGATGTATTCATTGTTACATGTGAAGCTTTATGCTTTGCAATAAAAGTTATCTATCCTGCTCACAAGAACATTTGTTTATGTTTAATTGAGTCCTGCTGTGGCGCTAATGTTATTTGGTGAGACATCAATCTACATTTGCCACTCTCCACCCAGGTGAAGTAAATGGGTACCAGGTAGGAAGAAATTCCTTGAATGCTTTAGCGCTTTATTATGGTAGCTCAGCTACAGCCGGGGTAATAATATGATACTTTGTATTTAGCGCAGTAGAGTATATTCATGTAGTAGCCGTGTTATATAAGTGGACCTATTATTATTATTATTTTTCTCTGAAACTGTATTCATGGTATGCAGTGTACTTAACTCTTATCGTGCCACAGGGCTAATCCCCACTGTGCCAGGTTGATTTGGAGATAATCTGATTAACGCGATGGTTCTATGAATGGCGAGTGCAATACACACAGCACAGCCCAACGTGAACAATAACTGCTATTACGAAAGCGCCCTTGCACGCACATGGCACTCAATAGGTAGCGTGCATGCAGCCTCATGGCAGGCTATGAGTTAAAGATACCCCCACACACACAAACTGTTCACTTGTTTGAGAAGCATCGAGAGGATTCAAATGAGCTTAGTTGAAACTGAAATAGGAACAAACTTTGAAGGGTGCACAAAACATGAACCGGTGATAAATGCTCCATGGTCTATTCTTACTCCAACCTAATTATTAAATCCAACTTAAGACCCAATGCCACACCGAGCCTAAGCCTATTTCTTAACCTAATGTAAAATATAAATGCAACTTCATCTTTACCCAATATTTTTAACAAAATGAAACCCGGATAAATTGTTCTAGAAGCAAACTCCGTAGCACTGTTTTGAAAGATGTGTTGGTTAAATGCAAAGTTCCAGATGTCGTCATTCTCCAAAGGATTAATGATATTTATCTGTCATTTCAATTTTGTCTTTGACAGCACCATTGTCGGAAGTGTGGTAAGGTGGTCTGCCAGTCTTGCTCCGCCAAGAAGTTCTTCTTCCCTTCAGTCCGAAGCCCCCGTCAGGGTCTGCGACTACTGCTACCAACAACTTTCTCTGGAGAAGAACGGCACAAGAGAAAGGATGGGAGAGAGAGTAAGTATTCGTCCCTAGGTTAGGATGTTAAATGACAGTGCCTTTGGATAGGACGTTGAATGAAAGTGCCTTTAGATAGGACGTTAAATGACGGTACCTTTGGATAGGATAAGTTCCTTCTTCCCCGTTAGGGTCTGTGACTTCTGCTACCAACAACTTTCTCTGGAGAAGAACTGCCTTTTGTATAGAATTCTTGAATTGAGTAGAAAAAACTCTTCAAAACAAAATTTCTTGGAATGTGTATGATGAGCAATGCACAAGGTCATTGTTCGTGAGATGCAATATCACAATATAATTGCGCAGGCATTGTTTCACAAAACCGTCATTAAGTGCAAGTTTGCCGATATCCCATTGAAATGCGTGTTGATTTGTGCTGTGGTCTAGTGGATAAGTCACCCGACTGCAGATCTACACTCTCCACCCTTGTCTTGTCCTGACCTCAAAAATTAGCTTTACATCTATCTTCTTCCTCAGCTCGGAATGCTGCCCCTCTTGACCAGGACTCCGATGACGATGACGATGATGACGAAGACATCGATGCCATCACAAGAAATACACCAGCAGAAGAAGTGGTATGTATAACATTTTGATAATGGGATGATATCGAGATGATACATACTTTGGTTTAGGATTTTTTTTCAATGATAAAAGTTATTTAGGGGTAACGTTACCTTTGGATGTTAGCTGAGGCTAGCATTGGGCTTTGATATCTGTGGGTCAAGGGTACGTTTGTAATTCTTTAGTGTCATAAAATGACTGTGAGACATTATTCTTCAAGCACTTTTGTTTGAGTACAGTTGCTATTAGTAATAGGCATGGCTCGAGCCATTCAGCTCTGGATAGCTTTAAAAAAAGCTCTAAAAATAAAATGAAAGTATAGCCCTTATGAAATTTTACTTGGTTCTCTAGAACAACAACATTGATTGTAGTATGATAATAAGCTTATTCTTTATTCCTTCTTCAGTTAAAAAAAAACATGCAAGACACTTAAATATTTAGGCTTGACAAGCTGATGGTCCCAAGAATTATCAAGTTATAACATTAATATTTTGGCAGAACAAAAAAGTAAAACCAAGGTATTGAGGGTATCGAATTAGAAATTTAACTGAAAAAATAAAGATGGCCTATTGATAAGAAGATAGAAGTGTAATTTAAGTTTTCTTTGAAATGAATTTAGAAAGAGGATTTAATCTTACTATACCCTTATAAATATTGATGAGTATTGATAAACTACATGTTGGTTTTATACAACCCCTTCAAAATAGACCAGATGTCCCAAATGACCCTGAATATCCACAGATCTTCAAAACATGAAGAGGTCCCACTTTGTACATTTAACAAAAATCACTCCTACAGTGATGGAGATGCTACATGAGTTTGTTTCCATTTTTCAAAGAATACTTCCACCTGTGTATCATGAAGTGCACTGTTTGTGCATAATGATAACATAACTTTCATGAGCACGTATCCAGTATTTTGTCTACATGTATTTCACAATTCGGTCTGCAATTATCTGCTCATGTTCAGACTGCAACTATAAAACTGGCTTATTATCAACCATACATTTAAAGTAAGGATACCCCATCAGAAAATGTCATGGTAGTTACTAGTTCCATTGCAGATATTATTGTGATTCAAAGTCTTCTTTTTTTAAACGCCCCTTTAAAAACTTCTTTCCCTTCTCTCTTTTACGATCTTGCAGCATCCAACATTCTACGAAGAGAACTATCGGTGAGGGGGTAAATAGGCGACCCCATTCCCTAGTGCCAATTTTGAACTAACGGAGACAACGTGATAGAAGGCGTGTGCTCTGCCCTCTGTAGGACTTGTTTTACATATGATTTAACTGCAGCAGTTTTTCTTTAAGACGTTAGTGTAATGTGCTAAACATATCTGTATCTCATGACTGATATGTTTGCGAAGGACCTTTGTTGTGCGTAGCTACTTTTTCTCCCTGCTTGCCGTTACCTTACGTGTAAAAAGAAACCTGCTGCCGTTTCCCATGTCGTGTGTTAACAAGCCTTTACGATCCATGAGCGTTCACACACAGCACCTCGTAGTGTTCATCGGAATTCCGTACGTCTGCCTGGTTAAGCATGTATACAGTGACGTCAAGGTATCGATGAGTCAATACTTAAAGGGATAGTTGAGTTCTTGTTTCTGACCGCAGATGCCTTCAAAGTGCATGGTTATTGCTCTTATTCTTATTTATGACATTTCTAGTGCCCTTTTGGAACCTAAAATTGCTATGAAGGTAATTTTAGACCCCAAAATGTGTGAATTTAGATTGAATACGATCATACCGATTCAGCTTCGCTTAAAAAAAAATATGGTGACCATTAATTAATTAATTATTAATAACAATGCACTGGCCGGCTGGTTGTGCGTATCATAACCAACACAAAAAAGCCAACAAAAAAGCCAATGTTGGCATTGGCTGGAATAAAACGTATAAGGCGCTATCTTGTCTTTTTAACGACTGGTTCAAAGTTCCCCAATATTTGTGGGGCACCACAAATATTAGAAATGTTGTGGGGCACCACAGATATTAGAAATGTTTATATTTATGGATATTTTGGCCATCTCTGAACTGAATTTGATCAATCAAAGATGATTTTGTCATTTAAATTGTATATTCTTTCAAATTTGACACTCAGTTTTTTCATTATCTCATAAAAAAGGTTATTTTGTGAAGCACCCTCTGCAACAAAACTCAACTATCCCTTTAACAAAGTCGTGTTGTAGGGGAAACGTAAAAGAAAAAGAATGTTTGGTGGAGATTTACTGCAATGAAATAAGAATTAGGATGAATAATGTAAAAATTAAAAATGAAATCTGTGTATAAAGACTGATCATGATTTTTAATCAACAATGTTTTGTGATAATTCCTTTGCTCAATAACACTTGGTTATGTCTGATTTATCACCTTGTACTTCAGAGGAATATTTAAAAACTAATACGAAAAATCAATTTCAAATGGGAAATGGCAAATGGGTTTTTATAACGTTACAATCTATTGGTGAAAATGAGTATGGTAAAAACAAGTCACCAAAAGATTTTCCTTTTTTGAAGCACTTCATGATCATTTTGAAGTGCAATTGTTTTAGGGCCTCAATATTACACCATATCACAAACACTGATAACATGTAGGGCCGTGCAGCTCAGATTTGTAAAACTGGAAACATTGTTAAACAATGCCTTTATTACAAAAATTACTCAATGCTGCCTGTATTTGTATTATTTTTGTTTAACAAGAAATTCATGAGGAAGATTACAGAAAAGAAATTGGCTTTCCATCAAATTTCAAGCAGTGATTATTTATATAAAATTGAAGAAAAAAAAATAAGATTGTAACTGGAAATTTGAATAAATATACATCCTTTATGTAGGGGAAGAGCCAATTTGTCAAAGTTTGACTTTGTCCTTTATTTTTTCATTTTTTCTAGTAACTGAAATTGTCCTTAAAACATATATATGTACAATATTTTTATTAATTTTATTATTTTTTTAATCTAATGATTATATTAACAAAATAAACACAATTTGTCCCTTTACTATCCAACTTTTTCTCCCGGGGGGGGGGGGGGGGGGGGGGGGGGATGTAGGATTAATAAAATACCCAGATATATCATGTTCTTTTCATAATGGAATTGATAAAGTATTAAACTAGTTAACCGGCAAGCTATTGATAACATGTATTCAGTAAGTTTTATTAAAATATGGAACGTCAATTGAATGTATATGAGACAAGGTTGTATTATATTTGTATTAATTGATTTGTGTTATACATATATATATATATATATATATATATATATAATACAGTATTGGATCTTTCAATGTGCTTAAAGCTTATTATTTCATTATTAATCTGCATGCTATGTATGTGTAATATCCTTTTAAAAATATAGTCAAATCAGCAAAAAAATAAGGTGAAGTTTTGGTGTCGGAAATATGATTTATGCTACAATTTCAATTGACACTTACTTTAATAAATTTTGTTCCGTGCTTGGTTTAGATCTATAAATCAACTAGGTTATAGTTAGTTTCGATTTATGTACCGGTAGTAATGATGTTCTTTTAGGCCATAATAATTAGTTACACTATATTTTATTGAGTATTGGTTTGACATTATTTTTTCTTCTATTTTAGCATTTCAACTACACACCTGTAATACTGACTATTTTTAATATGTGGGTAATAGGAGACACTAAAAACTGCCAAATATACACTTTTAAACTATTTGCACTTTCAATATTTCATATTTTTCTCCTTTAATCTACCGTACATGTATTTGGTGTTCAAAATGAAAGGGTAATGAAGTGGCCAGGGATTAGTTTATGATGTTACACACATGTTAGACAGTACACTTTAATTTAAAGCCATACTTTACAGAAGCACTACCGTAAAAATCTCCTCTAGCGCCATCTCGGGTCAGCTGTAGCAGCATGCTGCACTGTTGGTTGTACATAAAGTCCTCTGTCTGCAAAGTGGGAATTAGGTATTGTGTTACACACTGTTCGCAAGTTGACCATGAGATGGCGCTGTGCAATAAACAGTACACTAGAGCAGAAATTCATCCGTTCGGTATTGCTTTAAGATGTCTCTTCAATGGGTTTACACCAAAGTACATAGCCTAACGCTGTAAATGACAAAAACAAAATTCATTCCTTTTTTTTCTTCAATGTTCAATACAATTTTCAGTAGTCAACTGGTTTGATCATTTTCATAGGTAATTTATATGTTAAATTATAAGTAATTCTTGTTTGTTTGAATAATATTTATAGTATCCTGCATGTATTACTGTACAGAAGTGTAAATATGGGTCCGTCTGCTCAATAAAGCGACATGTTTCAGAGTAGAAAATGCCTTGCGAGATTCCTCCAGAGTCCCTTGCCTAACATGGCAGCCGTAGTCGTTTGATAAAATCACATGAGGGGGGTGTTTCACAAAGATCCTAAGTTGAAGTTAACTTGGACTTAACATTTATGGAAAGCAGTTACCATCCTTGAAAATATTTTGTAAAAGTTATTTTAAAAGATATAAAATGTTTCAAATCATTCATATTTTCTATTATCATGGGAGGCTTCATGTTCTTGATGTGGAGTTTATGAAAATTCTAAAATACTTAAATTATTGCTTTTGAATATATTCATTATAAGGCTACAAATTGCTCTCTGTAATATTTAAGTCTAACTTAGAGCTAAGTTCAACTTAAAATCTTTGTGAAACACCCCCTTAACTACCCTGTGCATTGTTACATGAATATATTTATCTCTGAGTATGTGTGGCAAGAGGTCGATATTTCTTGTCAAAATTACGTCAAATGAAATGAACATTGTTCTGGCTTTGAGGAGATGATGCTGCAGGTACTGTGAAGGACTTGGGTCTTGTTCACTCTAAGGACCTAGATCTTTGAACCGGCTCTTGCAAGACCAGGCCTAGGCTACATTACTCATAAGGACCAAATACAAAAATGAGAGAAACTAAACTTGGTTCTTGTTCCTTGTCTGTGAAGGACTTGGCTCTGGATCACTCTATAGGACCTAGATCTATCAACTGGCTCTTGCAAGACCAGGGCTAGACTAGACTACTCATAAGGACCAAATACAAAAATGAGAGAAAATAAACTTGTTCTTGTTCCTTGTCTGTGAAAGACTTGGCTCTGGATCACTCTATAAGACCTAGGTCTATGAAATGGCTCTTGCAAGACCAGGGCTAGACTAGAATACTCATAAGGACTAAATACAAAAATGAGAGAAACTAAACTTGGTTCTTGTTTCTTTTTCTTTTTTCTTGAAAGACTTGGCCCTTGATCACTCTATAGGACCTAGATCTATAAATTGGCTCTTGCAAGACTAGGGCTAGACTAGAATACTCATAAGGACCAAATAAAAAAAGAAATGAGAGAAATTAGCTTGATTGATTATACTGAAATTTATTGTACCATAGGAAGGGTTGCTTTGACATTTCCGTTTAGAAATCTGATTCTTTTATGTTTGGTAATTTTCCGGATTGGACTCCTCTAAAAAGATGAATGTACATTTGCACATACATGTCATAGAGTGTCGTTGTCTCATCTTATTTGCATATATGTATTGAAGGTAGCATGCTTTTCTGCAATATGTGAACGGAACCAGTTCTGTTACAAGTCAAAAAGTCATTTTGTACAAAGACATCCTAAATTTATCAGATGTAAATAATACTTCTTTCTTTTGTCGTTTTGAGACTCATGTTGTGACTCATTATTGCAGATTTAATGAGGACTACAGCTAGGATATAAAGTTTTAACTTGAATAAAGTGTGTTTCCTTTTCTTATCTTGATATTGGGGTGACGTGGTTGTGAAAATTGTAAACATAAGAGATTTCAAACTATAAAGGAGATATTTTTGTAAATTTTTTCTTGAAGATTTTTATACCTTGTATGACCATTTAATGTGCTGGGTATGTCTGTGTTCCAAATACAAGGCGTGTTGGACAAATGTAAACATGCCTGTTCGTTATGGTTATACACATTTTTTGTCTTGTACCTATTGTGTACAGGTCCATGTAAGCCGTTCAAATTATCTCATATATGATTTCAAGTATTTGCATGATAATTCATGACATTTTGATTATACACTCTCCCTCGAAAATCCTCGGCATCGGTTTCTGAAGGCTTTTGTGTTGCTTTGCCTGCGGGTATTCATTTAAGAAATAGAGCTATATATGGTAGAAAAATGCATTCATCAACTTCAATAAAATGCTGTTTTCATCAATTTCAATTGGTTTATCCTGATTTGCTCATAGATTTGCTCATAGAATTTCCCTCTTATTTTGATATGGAGGTACATTTAGCTTCAATGCCTGTTCTTAATGACTTTAAATTTGTTTAGTGCGTAATATACATGTACCTGGTATATATATTTTTTTTAATCAACTGTATTCTATTATTTATAAGAAAAGCAGAAACACGTAACATTGATGAATAAATTCTCCCTTTTCTGCATTTAAAACAAAACCCAAAGTCAGTTGAAACCACAATAATGCTAGGCAAGTGATAGAGATCCATAATATCATGTGTACAGACCTAGAAGGACGTTAACTTTGTGTTAAAGCGTATGAGTTAACTCCCTTTTGGCTCCAAAAGGCAATATGTCTTTTTTTGAATAATTCTTTAAAAATTGACACTGGATGGATGGCTTCCATTTAGTCCTTTCCATTTTTTTTTTAAACTCATTTATTAAAATTCCTTGGTATTTAAACTTGGTGCAAGTAGAGGGTATTGTGTCTTTTTTTACAGTGTATTTTTATTGAAATGCATCAAATATATAATAAAACAAACTTCATAAGTAGAAGGATTTAAATGCAAAATTGAGATACTGTAATGTATTACAGTCAAACCTGTCTACAGTGACTGCCCAAGGGAAACACAAAAAGTGGTCTTAGTAGACATGTTCCTTGAGTACATGTTTCAATGAGAAACCCTTTTCAAGGGAAACAAAAATGTGCTAGTTGTAGACAGGTGGTCTTTAAAGCAGGTTTGACTGTTTAATTGTAATGAAAATAGTTTCATTGAATGACTCGATTTTTGGGGATCAATTTTGTGTCTTATATATCTTATGGAGCTGTCAAAACAGTTCATCTGCAACTTGAAAAAAATAAAAATGGGTGAATAGTAGCTTTATCTTCAATCATGGGGCTTCTTGAACTGATCGGAAATGCAACAACAAAAAAAGTTTGGAAGCTTTGTGGAAAATAATGCAGTGCAGAAAATAATAAGGATCAATTTCAATTCAATGATTACTTTCCGACTATGTCACTAATATTTGAAAATTTAGATTAATATGATCAGATTTTGCTTTGAAAATGTTTATTGCCATATTGTAAATTTTTTTGTTTTAACAATTTATTCTGTCAGATGATATATGTACATAAAATGCAATAACATTTTCTCACTCATGTGTTTTATTTTAT